CTTTTCGACCAGCATCGTCATGCCCTTGACGGTGATGACACTACAAATTGTAGCGAAACATTTGGCTGCTGCGTAGCGAATGACAGAAAGTCGGCACTGCAAACCCTTGGCGATGATCGGCATAAGGTCGATAACCCATTGGTGCAGACCCGGATCAAACTTGGGCAGTAGAGCCCGCAGTGTAGAAAGACCATCTACAATTTCTTGACCAAGTGGATTCTCTGGGTCGGTGATGTTCTCAGGAAGATCATCTTCTGTCAAAGCATCTTTCAATGGCCGTTCAACCAATTTCGCGAGATTCGGAACCTTCTCCAAAAGCTCAGCGCCAAACTTGACTGCCAGCTGCTCCAGCGCATCCTTAGCACCACGACGCATAATCCGTGCCTCTCTTGCCTCTCTTTCGAATTTGGCCGCATCTGGATGGTCGCGTCGGTCTTCTTCTTTGCGTAGCGACAAGATTGATTTCTCCAAGTGCACATTGTGCGGGAATTCGGGTGTCTCGGAAGTGTCCACGCAGCAGTATTTGACCAAGTTTCCAATGATTTTGTCCACTGGCCCACGCTTCGTGGCGGCTGTGTAGTGTTCGATGAGGCCTGCCACTGCTGTCGCAGAGCGCTGCTGAAGTTCTAAATTCTCCTCTTTCTTGACACTGTCCATCATGCCCTTGATGATATGACCAGGCTTCTTGGGGATATCCCGCAACGCGACCAAGGCACCAGCAGTGGCAGCTAAAACACGCATGTCCCGCTGTTCCCTCATCAATCGTGCCTCCTCAACGGCGGATTGTGCGGTTGTACGGGTGTCGTTCAAAACTTGGGTAGCAGTGATTCGTTGAGCCGGTGTGAGGTTTTTCTTCAGTCGATCAAAGTCAGGACCAACAATTTTCTCAGCGTCCGCCAAGGAAAATGCATTAGGTCCGGCTTCTGGGTCGCCCTGAACGACCACAGCCAAGGTTGGCAGTCGGGAAGGTGCCACATGCGCATGATCCCGGAAAGTGTTCAACAATGAATGACACTGGGAGCGCGCGACATGAAGGTAACACGCAATGTCTGCATACCAAGCTGGACGCTCGCCCTCGAGAATCGGTCGAAGACGGTCACACAGTGACGAGCGATATTTGCTCTCTAGTCCAGATTGGCGAGCATACTCTTCTATGACCATGGCCGAGGCAAGCTGCGTTGTGGAAGCAGAAACATTAAGACCATCCAAAATTGCCGGCCAAAGGCTTGGTAGCTCATTCTTGTCCCAGAAAGATATCAGCTCGCCCAACGCCTTGGCAGCGTAAATCTTGGATCTCAACATAGTATCTGCACCAACGAGGTCAATATCACCAGAAAGCATGTGTCCGTCCACGTTGTGAGCTGAGGGCGGGGGTGGTTCTTTCTCTTTCTTCTCTGATTTGCGTCTCCGTCCCACCTTGATCTCAGCCCCGCCTGGGATAGAAGCAGGGGGAGAGCCTTTGGGGGGGATGGGAGCCGGGAGAGCGGCGGAGAATGGCAAACCAGAGGGTTTGATAAAGAGCGAGGTGTTCATAGGGATAGGGTACCGAGGAACGCCAAAAGCGCCCAGAGTCAGAGTGACAAGAGGCTGGATGGAGTCCGATAACTCCTCTTCAGATTTGAACGAACCGCGCAGCTCAACAACGTTGAGGAGTTCGGACCACACTTGACCAGACAGTTTCAAAACACCCTCGTTTCGCTCCACAAGAAGATTTTGGAAGATTAAGCGCAATGCCTTGCCATCGACCCAGTCTGTAGTGCCCTCACCCTCTAGCTTCAAGAATGTCATGAGAGCCCGAAGGACAGCCGAGCGAACACTCGTGATGGTATGGCGGAGGAATGGGTAGAGGCGGGGGACAAGTTTTCCAAATGACGCTTCCGGATCGTCTGCAGCGTTAGCCTTCATAGCATCCAGAACTTGAGGGAATGTGCAAAGTTTTGCCAAAAGGTCCATTACAGAGCCTGTACTAGCACTTAGATCGTCCTGCAGATTGGAAAGACAGTCCCAAACGATGTTCATCAGAGGGCCAAGAGTGCCAGTCCGGGAGGACACAAACTCCTCTGCAATGGGAACGAGTGTGGCGGCGCTAACAGCCCGGACATCGTCATCATAATCAGCGAGGCCTTTCATGACAGCTTCCAAAACGCCATCCATCATGTTGGAGTCCTTGACAAGCAAGTCCTTTCGAACTGCGACAAGGTACCGCATCCCGATCATACCACCATGGCAGACCTCCCAGACAGGGCGGTCCAGTCCCAGGTCGGTCTGCATTATGATCCGGTATAGGCATCGGTAGACTGCGCGGACTGAGTTCGGATGTAGGTGTGAAAGAAGAGCACCGAGAGTCTGACCCACGGTTTCACGAATTGGGGCAACCACATTATCTGAAATGTAATCACCAAATCGGTCCAGCATCAGGACGCAGAGTAGTCGACATGAGAGGTCATCCAGCCACCGGCGATTGAGTGCATCGTTTTCTGGGCGACTTTTTCCATCCAGGCGGCCAGCTGCCACACCCTGGACCCTGATGACTTCACGCAGGGCCATTGCGGCGCCATGTCGAACTTCCCAGTTGGAATCAAAGATGTCCATAGTCAGGAATTCACACATGTGTTCCAGAGGCCATCCTGCACCCTGCTCCACAATCTCTGGTTGGATAAGAGGTCGCTCTGGGACGACAGCTCCTTTGAACTCAGAAACAAGCTTGGAGTCGTCATCTTCTTCGGTGCGTTCGAAGGAAAAGTAATCAGGTTTGGGGTCGCCGTCTTGATTATCTCCGTTCTCTGCTTTGACAGGGTGGGGAGTTGTGGCCATAGGGGTCGTGGCAATATCGGATTGTCGACGAGAAGACAGATCCACGACACGGACTTTATTGGCCCCCATCTTGGCATTCTGCTTGTTTTTCCGTTTAAGCTGATTGAGCTGCCGCTTGCTCAGCCCCCCGTCCTCCTTTGTCGCACTTTCACTAGGCGAGGAAGGCATGCGGGAGCGAGCTTCATGCCGACTGTTGTGATGAGAGATCGACGGAATAGTCGGCTCATTCTTTAGGGCAGGGGTTACAACTTTAGGAGGCAGATCGATATCCTCGATAAGGTCTTCTTCTAGGTATTCGCCTTCGAGTCCTAGGCGCGCAGTCAAAGTCTTCTTTTGGTGCTGTAGACGTGAAGCTGGTTCCATGGACGCGAGGGAGTACTCATACTCCTTGCCCGCACTTCCGAGCAGCCGCTTACCATATTTCAATACGGAAGGGATGTCCAAGGTGTTGAGTTTGAGGAAATCATCGGCCAGGACTAGCTCTTCGGATTTGACCTCGGACTTGATCTCCACATCATCTTCGTCTGCTGCAGACTTGATCTGGAGTCCATCGTCCTCGTTTGGATCATAAATATCTGCGTTGGAGACAATCAATCCAATAGCTTTAGCAGAAGCAGTCCTTGTGTCCCAGGACTTGGATCTGAGGTAAGGCAGGATGCGCCCGAGTAGATTGAACAGTTCATCTGGATGCTGTTTCTGCACATCTGCAAGCTGCTGAGCAGCAGTATTACGAATCAACTGAGTACTGCCCGTCTCGAGTAGCCTGTATTGCCATTGGTCAGTGGTCAGTTGCTTCACGTGATCTCACATATTGGGGCCATTATACTCACGTGACTAGACGGTCGAGTCTGAATTAGGTTAGCTTCACGTGACAGGCGCGTGGTAACTGGCTGAAGGGGCTTACCGGGAAGCCATCGTGGGTCTTCGCTTTTCTTCCGACTATGCGGGACAATTTGAATAAGAGAAAAAAAAGAGAACAACACGAGGAAAAGAACAATTGCGCGCGACGAAGCGCGCAATTAAGGTGGAAGGACCTCGATATGGAAAAAGAAAGACCGAACGCCTAACACCTCAAGCCGCGATGATGAGTCAGCGGGGGGATTTAGATTTAGTACACAAGAGCGAGGGTCGAGGTCACGCAGCCGGGTTTATATCATTGCGGGTGCTTCTGCCCGGCGCGCTGGTCCATGTTTGGGTCACTCCGCCTAGGCTGTTTGTGGTTTAGCGCGGGCGGTGGGCTTCCACTCACAGCGCGCCGATTTTTTTTTCTGCTGCTGAAAGGGTCACGTGAGTCCATAAAACGCGTTGGATGACATAGAGCATTTAGATTGGTCAGAAATACCTATTTCAATATCTGGGGGCTGTTGTGATGGAGCGAACTTCGGTGGATAATTCAAGTCAAGGTTTATTTGAGATTTCGTCTATGCTTTGAAGGAAGGAGCAACGCCAAGACATGCCAGATGGCCTCTTCAATGTCCAAGATTACGAATGTAGCAGTGCGTGTACATACACTGATGTATGTGATAGTTTTATGATAGCTGAAAAATAAGTGATCAGATCATGGTATAAGAAGTGATGCTTTTCTGTACCTATATATAAAGGATAAGATGTCAATCGAATTTTGCTGCTATGCAGATATATCGATCGTCCTGCCGAACTATATATCCGCTATATACTCCGTAGATTCTCGTCCACTTCTGTTATTCTCTTACTTTCCCCTAAGCCAAGCATACAGAACATACCTATGAGCTTACATCCTTCTTATAAAGACGGTCATGGGCTTATCGTATCATATAATCAAAGTATAATTCCTTGATACAGAGAGAAAGCTAGCGACACAAAGAACCCCGGGATAAGCGGCTAGACGGCTGGAGCTGGTAATTCGAGTTAATTTCCTGCGCCCAATCAAAATACATGCTTATCTCGTTAATTAAACTTCCGAGATCAGGCATATCTCGTCCTACATGGCAGCATCTCGCATTACCGAAATCCAAAGATCGAGCGCATCAAAATTTAGGATAAAGCACCGTTTGTCGTTGAATTGGAGTATCATTTCGCACTGACAGACGTGATAATCAACCAGTTGAGCGGTTCTATACAGTCACAGGCCCCGGGCAAAAGTCCCGGGGCGGAAACACGGAAACACACGCATCGAAAAAGAACAAGCACATCCTTCCCATTCACCGTTAACTCAGCACATTGGCTGCCTCTTCTTCCTTTCCAAGTAGACCCAAGCTCCGGATTTGCTCAGCCTTAGGGGCGTTCTCTCGCGGGTGTGCGGCCTCGGCCTTGCGATAGGCAGCTTGCATCTTCATAGTGCGGAGAGCCTGTTGTTCCAATTTCCCCATTATTAGAGCTAGGTCCATGATTCAAGTGTGCAGGTATCGTGATCGAATGGGGATTGCCCTTACCTCTTTCCGGTGGTGAAGGCACTCATAGTAGTCCTCCAGGGCGGGCATACACTTCTTCTTGCCGGTGGCACCATCGTCCGAGTTCACAACGTAGCAACCAAGAACCTCTTGCCAGAAGGGATAGCAGCGTCCGGGACCTAGGAGAAACCATCATGTGTTAGCCAGTTTTATTCGCGGGGGAGGGAACTGCGTGCGCAAGTTGTGATCCGAGGGCATATTGGCGCGGACCCGACCAGGTTCCCCGGGGATGGGGGAAATGAGCACATACCACCGCTGTTACCGTAACCGGAAGCCATTGTGATACGTAGAAGAAGAGAATTGAGTAAGTTGTAGGCACAGAGACCGCGAAAAAGGTAGTGATGAAGTGCCGGCGGATGCGACCTCTTCCCTTTCATTTCCGACTTGGTCTGTGCGCCCCGCCGTATGCAACATGGTCATCGCCAACTATGAGGCCACCTCACTCGACTGCCTCGTCTCTTTAGCTTGACCATGGCTCTCGAAGAGCTGTCCGATGCACATGCTATTCTACTAGCTACAGAACTCTGCGCAGGTGGTAATGTGGCGGACTTGCCTATTCTACAGGCCCGGTTTCCCCATTGTTTTCCGTTGGAACGCCTCCTGCGCATCATCTTGACCTTTCTCCCAGAGAGCACAGAGCCCTCTCAGTACACCTCAGTGCTACAAGAGCTAGCAAATAGCTCTAATTTTCAATCCGACCGACCAATTAATACATCTGCTGTCCAGGATTTGTCCGAATCGCTCGCCAGAAAGCGCGTGCGGAAGCTTCATTTACGGCCACTACAACGCCCTGATGAGGAAGCCGAGATAGCTTCAGCAGATCCTTTGACCAAATTCCTTATCCACCGGGCACATCTGATCGACTCGGAAACAGCGCTACAGCCTCTCATTCTCGATCTTATCGTCCCCTTCTACGAGCACTCGCCAATCATTCGAACATGGCTGATATCGAGCCTATTACCATTACTTCGACTGAACTACGAATTCTACGCCTATCGGGACGAAACTATATCTCTTGAGATCTTGGAGTCTATGGACGATCAAACCGCAGTCAACATTCTCCTGTCTCTGATGAGCTCCGAAGAGAACAATATGGATTTGGTCAACAACTTGAAGGGTCTGATTGGACCTTGGCTCTATGGTGGTAATCGGTCAAAACGGCGAAGGCTTAACGAAGAAGCTCAGCAGAGTTCGGTATCTTTCATTGAAGGCTCCGAGAGACCTCAAGCAACCGAATTGGCTGGATGGGAACATGTGAATGAATGGCTACTATCGCGGAGTCTTGTCGACCGCGACAGCGTTGTGAGCGCCTTCAACCACTGGGATGGACCATCAGATGTGGACTTGGGGGGATATGACAATGCTGGAGCGCAATATTCCGAAGAGCAGGCGAGAGATTTACAGGTTCGATACGGCCAGTCGGGTCTTGCTGTGGTGTATGCCCATGCAAACTCATCGACGGCTGTGCTGGATGGCTCGTTCCAGGTCTTGACGAGGGTTGCGAAGCTCCTCGCTCTCGAAGACAGCTCATACCTCACCCCTGATTCAGAACTGCCATCTGTGCACTATGATACCGAGTCAATCTCCTCGACATCCCGCGCATCTCTATTGCAGAACTCTCTTTTGAGACGGACGAATCCTCTTACCAAGCCATCGCCCCCAGCGATATCGTTTCTTAGCGCTTTACTTCTCTCCCTTCGTATACTGACCGAACTTGGTCATCTGGTTCCCTGCCGGGTTGCGGCAAATATGTGCCTTCACAGCACCGAGGAAATGCAATTGGCCGAACTCAAAAGCGTGGTGAATTCTACTTTGCAGCAACCGGGTTTAAACCAAGACTGGTCTATGGTTCGACAACGATTGCTTTGGCTCCGAGATTGGCAGGTGGAACAGTCCGACAACGCCTGGGATGAACCTTCACCGTACCATGGAATTTTCTGGCGGATTCCCCGCGACACGGTTGAAACGGAGATCTTGAAGGCGCTGCTGGCAGCTAAAGGTAATGCGATCCAAATTCACTATTCATTGTCAATACTGATGGCATTTCTAGAGTATCAATTGGCGCTCGATATATACACCGAGTCTAAACCAGCGCCACTGAATCCTGTCCAAGTGGAAGCTGCGGTTCAAGAGGCTATATTTACAGCCTATGATAATGCAAGCAACGGAAATCGAACACGGGGCGGAATGAAGAGAGCTTATGATATGTATGTGGTGCTACTAAAAGAAGATGTATGGACTCGGCACTGACAGTAAATTAGCTTACAATCATTCACCTCACACTTCCCAGAATCTGTTGCATTCAAAAAGATCCACGCCCTCATCGCCGCAACCCACTCGCTGTCATACTATTCGCTGACCCTGCAACACGGTGTTCCATTCCAGCCTGTTAGCATTCGTGTCCATCACGATCCAATCCTCTTGATTGAGAAAGTACTGGAGCAAAACCCAAAGAGCTACACCAAACTAGACGATCTTCTCTCCATCGGACGAAACCTAGTGGCAGCAGACGTTCCCACGCAAGCGGCATCACACAAAGCCGAAGACGAGCCAACCCACTATAATCCTCCAAAGGAGCACGTCCTACTCGCCGCAGAGCGCCGCATAACCTCCCTAGCAATTGCGTCTGCTCTATCCTCCAACGACTTCGGCACAGCCTACTCTTACATTCTAACGCGACTCACACCCCCGTCACTCCTCTCGACCTCCTCCCCGCTCCTAAACACCACTTCCGTCCCTGACGACATCACCTGGCGCGCCGTCTACAACGCAGGTCGCTACCGCGCCACAACACCAACCCAACCACCACCAACCCTCCAATCCCAAATCTCGCACCTCTCCCAGCGAATGGAACTCCTCTCCCTCGCTCTCGTCCTAGTCCCATCCCCAGACCCACTCCCGGAAATCCTTGGCGCCTGGCGTCGCTGCGATGAAGAACTCACCTCGCTGCGCGCGCGCGAGCAGCAAGAAGAAGATCTCTGGGACAGAAAGGGCGACACACTGACATCCGTCCCGGGCGGATTCGGGCCGTCAGACTCAGAGCGCGACGCCTTCGACACGGAACAGCAGCGCGCGGCGCGCCGTGCGCGCGCTGCAGTGCCGAACTCTCGTCGCCACGAGGCGCCGATGGGTCTGTTTGAGGTTGCTCGTGGAGCGGCTTTGGCGCTACATAAGAATGCTTTCCCGCTGAGGAGCGCAGCTGATAGTTCGGCGTCGCTCCCTCCTCGGGATGATGCTCGGCCGCTATCTCCGGATAGTGAGGGTCGTGTTAGGAAGAGGGATATGGTTAGCAATATGATGACCGGGGGCTTGGTTAGTGGGATTGGTTGGGTTCTTGGCGCTGATCCGGTGAGCAAGAAGTAGGGGAGGCGCGAACAAGATAGGGTTGCGAGTAACTGAAGGTTGGAATCCCTTACAGTTGCTTTTGTGGTTGACGAGGATGCATATCGAGACCTGTGCTGTATGTAGCTTTTATGATAACAATGAGACATATTTTTTCTTAGAAGCAGAAGGACTAGCTGACGTATATTATTGTACCCGTATACATAATCATCCAAGTTGAAGACAAGATGCAATGGTATTAAGTGCCTAAGTATGTCCCAAAGGAAGTCTCCAAGCATTGCAACACTCCCGCATCCAGTGCAAAGCAAAGTAGACCCTAAATATAATCCTGGAGCAGACTAAGAAAGCGGGCTGTACACTAAAAACGAAAACACGATATACGAAGATGGAGGATATGTCCAGGCTCGATGTGACGGGAAAAGACGAAGCAAAAGCAGAGACCAGTCCATCGCAAGGAGACGACGGAAACAGCGAGAAGGGAAGGAGAGGGCGAAAAGGATTGAAGGGTATGCAATGCATGGAGAATGTCAGGCCATTAAGGATCGTAGAAGGTGAAGCGTAGCCGATGAGATTCGTGTCGAAGAAAAAAAGGAAAAAGCATTTGCTGATGGTAACGGGGTATGAGAGTAATGTCGAGCCCCGCCAGTTCCGGCCCGGGGGGAGCCAGCGGAAAGCACAAAACGCAGATAGATACGAAGTAGAGTCGTGAGAAACGGGGTTGAGTTGTTGACAGCCAGGTCAATCCTTGGGGTCCAGCCACTCATACTCAAAAGAAATGCAGCAAAGCAGTAAGGCACCCTCAAAAAGGGTCCTTGGGGACGTGTTTACTCTTTCCAATCCCACACCTGCCTTATAAAGTTCGTCATGTTGACCTTCTTGTTTTTCATATCCTGCACCCATGGATGTTCCAGCATCCGCCAGGGCGTCGCACGTCGAGGGGGTTCTTTTTCCAAGCTGGTGATCGCGTTAGTATATAAGAATTAGAGTTACACAGACAGAGTACATACCAGCATTCGATGAAGTATTTGAAGTTGTCCGACCAGCGAATGCCATTTTGTGGCTCATCCTTCAACGTGGGAATTGGCTGGCGAACGATATAAGTTAGGAGATCTATTAGCCCTGCACGGGGTTGCATCTCAGTCCCGTCAGCAGGGAAGGGGAATCGGTGCTGCGCGACTTCCAGCAAAGTCACACCGAGAGACCAAACGTCGGATGTAATAGTATATGATTGACCAGTAATGCGCTCTGGGGCCATATAGTAGGAAGTGCCAATAAAAGTGTTGGCGTCGCCCTTGGTACCGAATTCACCGCTGACGCCAAAGTCGCAGAGTTTGACCTTGCCATCGCGGCACAAGAGAATGTTCGATGGTTTGATGTCTAGAAAACATTAGCCGCTGATGGTCAATGTATATCGGGGATAATGGTTCGTACCTCGATGAATGATCTTTCGGCTGTGGAGATAGGTCAACCCATTCAAGACACCTTCTGCGACCTTGCCAAGGACCTTCTCTCCAGTGCGACCTCCAAGCTTTTTGACCTCTTTGTAGATGCTGTCCAGACTTCCACCTTCACAGAACTCCATAGCGATAGAGATGGTGCCAGTGGATTTGTCCATGAAAGCACCATAGTAACGGCAGATGTGGTGCGAAGCGCAGTCTTTGTTGAAGTTGAGCTCACGAACGATTTGTTTCTTGACATCAGGGTTGGGGTCCGTAGTAATGATCTAGGATGGGATGTTAGCCTCTATCGCCGAGCGCAGGTATACAAAAGTTGACTAGCTGAAGCAACGCACCTTCAACGCGAATACGGTCTTTCCCTCCTTGAGTCGGCATCGGGTGACGGCTCCGCCAGCACCCTCTCCCAGACTTCCCAGTTCAACAATCATATTCTGTTCACTGGCCGCGTGCCAGCCTTCATCATCGAGATCATCCACATCAAGGGGCCGGCCCTTCTCCAGACTCAATTTGTCCAGATCGGGGAGAAGGCCGTTCACACTGTGTTCACGGTCTCCGTTCTCGCGATCTGAGTACACTGAGCTAATAGCCGAGGACGGATCTGACGAGCCATCCGGCTGTCGAAGTCCCATGGCGAAATTAATCGTCGAATATGAAGGGTTTGAAGAGGCTGGTCCATTGGTCTGAATTTGTAGAATGGGCGCACCTCCACTTCCACCTCCTAGGCCATTTGTACTCAGTGGGGGCGGGGCTGGTCGACCGTTCGGCATAAGGGTTGGCGGAGATACATTCTGCTGGCTACCCATAGGGGTTGCGAGATGCAGTCGTGGGGGTGCTGGTCGACCCGACGGGCGAGGCTGAGGTTGGGGTTGGGTTTGGATTTGAGGTACTTGGGCGGGGGCGGGATTGCCATTGACGGGTTTGGCGCTAGGTGAGGGGGGAATGCCTAACGTGAGCTTCGGGGCTCGCGGGCTGCCGGTATTGTTGCGAGCGCCAGGAACGGGCGGACGAAGGAGAGGAACAGGAGACGACATGGCGAGATTGTTTTGCCTTTCGCCAGGCAAGAACAACTCGTTTGGATCTGCGAGAGTAGCCACAGTGTCGGCCTTGGACCAGTCCGCCTTGGGGAGTCCTGGAAGGAGGGGGAAAAAGGCGGATTGAAGCAAACAGATGATACTATGAAAAGCAGAGCAGAAAGCAAAAGAAGAAGCAAATGCAAAGGCACAGCAAAGACCAAAGAAGAGGCAGAGGCAGAAGCAGAAGCAGAAGCAACAGAGATAAGGTAGAGAGAACAAACGAGTGGAGTAAGAAGTTACCGAGAGATGCGGCAGGTGACCTGTTACTCCACCATATAAGAAATAGAGTCCTTCGTACTTCGCTACAGAGTATATATGTCAAGTCAGGGTCTAGTTCAAATCTTTGTAACTATCTTCTCTAGAGAATATTAATAGAGCGACACAGCCGACACCAGAGGTCGGGCTGTGGTGGGGCCTCTATGTTTCAGAAAGCGCCTGAGCTGAAACATCTACAACTTACGTCTACGATGTAGAATTGTACAATGAGGATGTCTAGATTCTTGTGTGAACCGTGGAAGTTGATGTCTATTCCAATTCTTCCAAAGCAACATAGAATTCTCCTGAGTACCATGGTTCATGTTTCTCTCCCCTTTTTTATATCGATGCAGGTATACTCCGTATATGTATCTACATGTATATAGGTACATAGCACATATGTAGCCACGGAGGTGTCAAACTAAAACCAACCCAAAAGACTAGATCTCGACTGTCAATCATTAAACTTACGTTGTTTCCTTGGAGCCGCAATTACTGAATACTTTTCCCAAAACTGTGGCGTCGACATCATTGCCAACACATTCAGGGCTGTCCCCCACCTGAATATGACCTATCACAGGCCGTAGGGGTCTTACCCTGCCAGCCTTACAGAAGTACCGACTTTTCACTATGCATCCAACGTATTAACGTATTATGTACGGAGTACTCCGTATACGATGCGATATCCAGTTCTACCGCGAGACCTATACATGCAATATGTCATCGAGGGGCTCGTCCAAAACCAATTCTAGTCTAATTCCAAGATAATTATAACTACGATTCTATCCCTTGGAAAGGTGTGGCTTAGCCCAAATCTGTGGCCACGCAATGAGACCCGATGATGACATGGGCGGGCCCTAGTCGATCCGCACCAGTAGCATTTCAGTGTCACTGTCTTTTCCCGAAATTTGGGCGTTAAAAAAAGATCAGTTACTGTGGAAGCGTTCAATTCTAAGGCTGTGATTTAATTAGACATTCTTGCCGGGAAAGCCGGTGCCAAGTCCTAACATGAGGTCAAGCGTATTGCAAAATAGTACAATAAGCCCCATTGTGGATATTACAAGCGCCAGGTGAATCTCGATCTAGGAAGCTGGAGAATGCATAATCCGTATGCTGTATATAATTTACTATGTTGTACGTAGACCCTGTCGTAATAGTTGATCTTGAATGACGTTCGACCTAGCCATAAAAGTAATATCATGAATATCTGACGAGATTGTCTGCTTGTCTTCGAAAAGCTTGTTTATACGGAAAGTCGCTGTTTGGGAAACAAGAGATCTCGATCTCACTGGCGCTTCAAGCATAGCCCATTGTGGTGTACAGTATGTCGTGTATCTGGAATATATGCGGAGTATTATTATTCAAGAGGCAAAAACCACACTTCTCGGTACCGCCAGCTTGTGTCATCAGCGCTAAAAATGACGCGTCGATGCTGATCGGTCGGGTTTGATGTCAGATCTGTGATTGTCGATGGCGATCACACGCAATCAGATCCTACAGAGTTGACTAGGCGATGTGATAGAGTAGCCGATAACAGTCTCGCATCAACACGGAAGTGCTTTTGAGTGGGCGCTAAGGACATCATTCTATGTTATACAACGAAGAAAAAGTGCTATTGAATTTGTCATTTCAAGATTCAAGTCATTGTGCAGTCAAGTCGACTTAATTGTCAATCACAAATCCCTTGACCTGGCCGATATGATATCCGTCTCTTGCTCGTGGCGCAGGGCAATGCTCAAGAATATTGCAAGATGTGAGGAAGGAGAGTAGGATATTTACAGGATTCTAAGAACCCCGAGACTGCAATATGAGCGGTGAGTGTTGAAGCGAAAGCCCCTTACTAAATATCAGAGACTTAGACAAATGAGGAGCAAATGAGGAAGGTCAAGGACCTCTCACGCGATAGGCGAGGATGAACTTCGGAAAAAGCCTAGATCCACTCAAATCACGTCCCTATCATTAACGGTACGGCTGAACGTTGTGCCAGATACTCCGTACTTTATATATCAAACACACTCCACCAATAATCATATCCCACAAAGCTAAATGAAGCTAAAGATAGTACCAGAGATGAGTATGGGGTTGATAAGAATACGACCATGCCATACAAAGCACGTTGGAATAGAATAGAGGCCCGATCTATTGAAAAAGGGGCCACGAAGCGCAGGTAGGTGGAGTCTGGGGGCGGCCTACGGAAACCGCTTGGTGTGAACAAACCCCTATCATGGAGTCGGGTCCAAAGTCAAAGTCAAGGACATAGACCAGGACTCAGCGATCATTGGCTAATCAACATACATCGCTATCCTGCCCTGACTTGCACGGTCGAACCACTTCGAAAGTCTGAACCGAACTTTCGACCCAGGAACAGGATGAAGATCAACACGCTTTGATCTACACGAGTAGCTATTTTAGGGTACATATTTCGCACAGGAAATCGACTCTAGAGTCTACAGACTACAACATACAGCTCGAGTGACCGGTGTAACTCCAAATTACTGCATGCACGCCACCAATCAAACGGTCAGACCCTGATATTATTTCCTCAAACTGCGCTCGGACTTGGGCATTGACGCCCACATTGCCTAGAACAGGGGCACGAGATGCAAGCAACATCAAGCACTGTCCCGGAAGTAAAACAATGCGGTCTAGCCGTTATGGCGTGAAGCAAGACCTTCCCGTTGCGGGGGCAATTGGCAGTCTTGACTCTTGAGTGACTTGTACTATTGGCATTGCTCTTTGGGTTTATTTAGTTTTACGAAAATTGGTCTTCATAGTATTTCATTGGTTACACGATGAGTACAATATATTAAGTTCATCTATGCTATATATGGTCAACGTAACAAGTCTCGGACGACGATATACCCAGTGCACCGGAGGAAACAGTGCAGTAATACAAAAATTACTACTAATATACAAGCAGTACGGAGTACGGAGCACCCGTATATAGTAAGTAATAATACAAAGGATGTCTCGGCGCTTCGCTCCGACAAAGGAAGAGGGTTCCATGTTCCAAAGTAATATGAATAGTAGAAACCAATCCCATTTTGCAAGTAAAGTGCACATCATCATTCGCCCTTACACAATACGTTCTCTTGGCGAAATAAATGGCGGGCTGTTCAGGGGTAAGTGGAGATGAGAAGAGACCCACGGGGAAATGCCAACAACTGGGACGCCAGGGACGGGTAGTGGATCGGCGATGCGGTCTGAAACATCAATAGAAAGAGAAAAAGAACACATCTGAGAGGAAGTGGGTGTTGCAGAGGAGTATTATTGCAGTTGAATTCTTACTTGAGGGGAGAGCGTACGGAGTATATGCATCTTAGGACGGAGGATATAACCATTTGATATGTCGTCGTCCCTAATGTTGAAGCGATCGTCACAAGTAAAAGAAACACCGGCGGGTCAAAATTACCTGGTAATTCGAAACAACGCCATCGATCCAATCATAGAATGGCCTAAATTGAAGTGCGAGAGCCAGGTTACAGGTACATGTCAGGTTGCGGTGTGGGTTAGTAGTGGATGAAGTATCCAGTACACCGTCGTTCTTATTTTCCCCTTTTTTTAGGGCCAAACTCGTCCCAAAAGAGAGAAAGCGAGTGGCTGCTGATCTGACACTAATCTCCCCGTTCATACAAAGGCCCCCTGCCTCCCCCGTGTAGTTTTTGTTTCTTTCTTCTCTCCAAGTACATTCTTCCAAAGCATTCACTCTCTCTCGACTTCGGTCTTACACTCTTTAAACACCAACTCACTCTCTTTCAAACAAGAAGCTACGCTTTTTATATATACCTTTTTTGAACATCACTTTTTACGGTTTTCGTACATAACATTCAAAATGCGTTTCACTACTGCCACTATCGCCCTCTTCGCCAGCTTGGCCATTGCCGCCCCCGGTGCCGACAAGACCGTCTATGAGACCGATGAGGTGACCATCACCTCTTGCGCTCCCACTGTCACCAACTGCCCCGGCAACAGCGGTGCCGGTGTTGAGCCTACCGGCAGCACCACCCCCTCCAGCGTCCCCGCCGCTGTCACCAGCGCTGCCACCACCCCCGCTGGTGAGGCCTCCGAGACCCCTTCTGCGTCTACTGAGACCCCTGCCGCGTCCGCTGAGACCCCCGCTTCGTCCGTTGACATCCCCGCCTCGTCTTCTGAGACCCCTGTCTGGTCCTCCGAGACCCCCGCCTGGTCCTCCGTCCCCACCTGGGCTCCCTCCAGCGCCCCCAGCGTTCCTGCTAGCGTTCCCAGCGTTCCCGCCAGCGTCCCCAGCGCTCCTGCTGGCACCGCCCCGGTCTCCTCCACCGTGATTGCTATCACCACCTGCGTGCCCACCGTTATCTACTCGACCGTGCCCGTGTCCGCTGCTGCCACTACCCCCGCTGCTAGCGTCATCCCCCACGGCCCCACCGGTGGTGTTCCCCACGTTCCCTCCAGCAGCAAGGGTGTCGCCACTGGCACCGTCCCTGTTTCTCCCGCCACCTCCTCCCCTGCTTTCAACGCTGGTGCTACCCTCAGCGGCTCCCTCGGCTTCGCCGGTGCCGCCGCCGTTGCTGCCTTCTTCCTGTAAATGACATCTTTCGGGTTTCCGATGCACTAGTAGACCTAGTGGGGTCCCTTGGGTCTCACTCTGGAGTTGTCACTGTGCCGAACTGGAGTGGTTGTTTAGAGGTGATGCAAGAAGAGGATTTTGTTATTTAGGGTTTCTGGTGATTTACCATTAACAATGGTCGCTTTCTGACTGGATATGTCTATCCCTTTTTTGCTTTTTTGATATACATACTCCTTTTTATTTCTTCTCGGGCTCTCCTGGATAGCTTCGGAGTTGTGCGAAGCTCGCTTGGTGGCTTGAGCACGACCTTAATGTAAACCATGACAGCTTTTCACATTCTCCATCTCTCCAGCGCCTGTAGCCTATTTGGAATGTATCATTTTTGCACATTCATAAATCTATCATTTCTTCTAGGCCTTTCAATATCGACCAGTCCATTTTGAAAGCTCTCAGTAGAGTCTATGTTACTAGTATTGCCAGACAAACTGCGGGATATGAGAAGGCTGTATAAGCGGTCGACTATTCTTGTACTATGTACAACATAGGTTCACATGAGTATAAGATCTGTACTCCGTATGTAGTATGTACACACCTAGTAAACGATTAGCAGCCAAAAATAGAGCCCCACAGTTCAGTGAGTGGGAAATCGGCTTGTTCACCGACAATCAGCGGCTTCACACTCTCGAATCGAGTGTCTTTTAGTTCCACTCGGACAATTCCCGTCAAGCAAAGGAACGAAGAAAATGACGAAAGCAGTGTGTGATACGTAATCATTCTCAAGCCTAAATACATATCGTATCTGAGCCCTGAGTCCGGCTCCTTCTCATTGCAATATATCTTACTCCGACAACCCTTGGGCATACCTCGGCACTCCATTCCCGTTACTTTCCACAAGGCGCACTGAAGCCCGAATATATCTGGTGAGTTAACGCCATTGCAGTGAGGATGAGAAAACAATGCACAGCCCCCTGGGTGAATTTGGACCCCAAATTGTAAGGATCATTATCCTGAAAAGGAACGGCACAATTTCGTATTCGGGCAATTGATTTTCGGCTATGACTTTAGGATACGCAATGTACAGAGAAATGAACGATCGTCGGTGTTTCGTTGGCCCTAAGAGCATTCTTGCCACTGCACTGCCTAAGGATCTATCTTCCGTGTATACCCTGCATACTCCGTAGTATGTGTTATATTCCCTTCTCCAGAGAATAGTAAATGCATCAACCCTAAGAAGGAGCCTTTTAGCCCAACTTCCCTTGTATTATCTAGATACGAGCCCTCCGTGATGGTCCACTCTTCAACGCCCCCAAAGCGTACATATATTACTATCTAAAGATAGTAGTATATCAAGCCATATGATATATGATCTACTCATCGCGCCCCCTATTTAATCGCGCTTTTCTGTCTACCTAAGCGACGAGCTTCCGAGCCTCTCAAAGGCTCCGATCTCGACTGTCCTATCATGGATCTCTCATCCCTGGGGGGTGCGGCAATGGTTAATCCAAAATTCATTGTTCAGCCAGATACAACGACCCCTCGTGTTCAAGCAAATTCAAGTGCTTCTATTCAATATTTGTTCTCAAAACCTCTGCCACCGAGACCTTCTTCAACGGGCGCTACCTCGCCAACACAGCATCGTAACACACGACAGAACCGGTCACCGAACCGCTCCCCAATCGATGCGAATCTAAGATGGGCCGAAGCCCGTGGACGTCCAATTGGTCCGCCGGACGAACTGTTCCTCAACCACGAATACGAGGTGCGCCCACGTATACAGCACATTCCACATTCTCCCCCACGATCACGGAGCTGTGTCCCGATCACTTGGCTCGAACATGAGAAGAAATGGATTGTTGGAGAGATATATGTGCATGGTGCATATGATGCTCAGCCTCAAGATGATACAGCGTCTTCGCCAGTCTCACCAATTTCGCCGGTTAGACCATGGCGCGACGTGTTTCAACGTTTTGATGAGCACATCGATTACAATAATCGCCTTCGTCGGGAGGATCTGCTGGTCCAGCCTCCGCCATATGACGAACACGGATTTATTCAAACATACGACGCAGCTCTAGGAGATGATCGGGTTTCCAGCTGGGTTCGAATTGCCCAAAGAATGCATGAGGAGAGGCGGAATTGGGCATGAGCAGCGTGATACCGCTTAGCGTTATAACGTCTTTGATATTGATTCCGGAAGCTCACTCGCTCATCTGTGAACGACGACAATAATGCCAAATAGATAGGTATTGAGCGATACATTTAGACTTCCCTTGAAACAGTTCTCTGTATAAGAACCCGAGTACCGCTAATAGACAAAGGAAAGGGGCGGTAACACCTTTGGTTTCATCTCAGGTCTGACTCTTGGTTGGCTGCTTTCTTTCAGTGGCTCAGTGGTTATGGTGATTTCAAATTATATAGCTGTAGTATTGTTTCCTCTCGCCTGTTCTAAGAGTATAAAAGGCCGCTTGAAAAAAGATTGATCGAGCATTTATTGGGGTTGTCTTTTTGCTCACTGTTATATCCCCGAAGAGGGGTACCCCGTCAGCCCTTAACAAGCTCGCCTGTTATTGGTTCCTCTTAATATTGGCTTTGAGTTCAACGCTGGCTGAAATGCGCTACCGGGAACGGAACAGGGGGTCAATGTGCCATCTCCACTATCAAACTAAGCAATATCAAACTCATTTTGATCTAGGAGAGACTACCCTCAATATTGGTCCGCTCATACGTAACGTAAACGATCTTTTGCAAGGTTTGCCGTATAAAAAACGAAATGATTGATGCGGGAGCCCCGCGAGGAACTGGGTACATAAGAACAACAGCGTGGTAGCTAGATACCTCGGTGAAATAGCCCTAAAGTCAGCAAAGGAACTTGTCATTCTGCTGCTATACTCCCTGCTATACTCTCTCTTATATTTCTCTCTGTACATATTCCCTTGACGCTATTTACAGCTATTCTAAATCCATTGAGCAGACTAGCATTATAATACTCACTCTTCAACTTGCTTCGCTTTGCTCCTATTTTTTTGGCTTCTTTTTGTAAATCAGACTTATTATGACGCTGTAAGACCGGTGTTTCACCTTGGTTTCGCCCCTAAGAGACATTAGTACCATGTATATCATATGTATATCATATGTATATCAGATGAGTCCTAATGGAGCCAAGACTTACACTCGATACGTTAAGTGTATCCCGGCATGGAGAGCCGGTTCCGACAAGATTATTAGTGCGAATAATCTCGCAGCAAAGAGCCCGACACAGGGGTCCCACTCTCTGAAACGCCAGTAACGGTACTGCTGTATACCTGTCACCCGTCAGCGTAGAAACTAGCAACCTGCACATTGGATCCACCGCTCCACCGCGAGTCATTGACAGCCTCGCCAACCACCCCTGCAGGTTCCGTTGAGGGGGTGATAGACTTAAGACGATAATAAGAAGACGGAAGATTCTCGAATCTCTTCGAGCTGTTTTTTTCCCTTCCCCCTCGCGGCTGGGCATCAATCCCGGCCAGAAATGAGTGACTCCATTGCTCCAGTTCTTTTGCGCGCTAACACAGACCAGGAGCTCTCCAGCCTCTGGATTATTTGCCAGCCAGTAGCAAAGATGGAACATATGATAGAATAAGAAAAAAAAAATATATATATTATAAGAGGACAGGCCCAACTGATTTCTCGGTCTGGTTTTCACCCCGGCATCAAGCATCCAGGTTACCAAACCCAGTCCAACCACCAACCTTCTTATTATTTTCTGAGATTAACATGACAGGAATCAGAGAGTGAGAGACAAGGCATGGCTCAGACTTGAATCAAAAGATTCCCGAGTGCAAATTGAAGTTGCAAAGTTGCAAAAAAGTCCCAAGTTGATATTCCTCTTCCCCCCATCCGTGGTTCACACCGTGGGAATCTCCCCGATTCTACCGCCTTCGATAGAAAAAAAAAAAAAACTCCCTCCCCACCCCCAATGGTCCAACTCGCCCACATCTTCAAAAAGGACAAGGATAAGGATAAGACCGAGAAGAACAAACCTGATCTACGTCCGTCTCGATCTTCCTTCTCCGCTTCGCGCACATCTCCATCTCCGAAGTCGCCCTCCAAATCCCCAACCAAGCCACCTACCAAATCTCCCTCCAAATCATCGTCCCCCACCAAATCTCCCAAACCTGCCAAACAATCATACTTTTCTCTCAGTCGGTCATCCTCCAATTCCGGACCGACCGCCAATTTCAAGTTTGCCCGGTCTTCGCGTGACCAGGACATACATCCACTCAATCTCCCACCTGACGAGCTACGTCGTCGATTGTCCGCCATGGCAGCATCCAACGAAGAGCAGCAGAACTTCATGGATATTGATCCCAAGGAACCCCAGATTGATGCTGTGAAGGATGATGTCAAGAATGATGCCCTGAAGACTGATGCTGCGAAGATTGATGCGGTGAAGACTGATGCGGTGAAGACTGAGACGGCGAAGACCGATGCTGTGAAGAAAGATGCCGTGAAGGAAACTGAGGAGCGGAGTCCGACTCCGCCACCGCACCAGTCGAATATATCTTCTGCCGACGAGGCCGACTCCTTCAAGTTGGCCGGAAACAAGTTCTTCAAGGATGGCAATTATCGACGAGCTATCGATGAATACAACAAGGGTATGCATTTTCTCTATCCCACAGGGACACCGTGTCTCATGACTTAGCCTTGAATGAGCGGGGTCGCTGATGATTTTCGTGTACTGTAGCCATCGAGATCAATCCCAACTCACCAGTCTATCTCTCTAACCGAGCGGCGGCTTACATGTCCGCCAAACAATTCCCGAATGCGTTGCAGGATGTTCAACGTGCCAGCGAGCTCGATCATGGCAACCCGAAGATCATGCACCGATGGGCTAAGATTCTGACGAATTTGGGTCGTCCTGCAGAGGCCCTAGAGGTGCTGTCACGTATCCAGCCACCAGCCACTGCCACCGACCGGGCAGCCGCAGAGAAGATGCTACGCTTCGTCACGCAAGCCGAGCGGACAATAGCGGAAGACCGCGGTGTGTCGATGGTGATCTACTGTCTAGACCAGGCACGCCAAGGGCTCGGACAAGGTGTCCGGGAGCCCCGCAAGTGGACGCTTATGGCCGCCGAGGCTCATCTGAGGCTGAACAACATCAACTCGCTAGGCAGAGCACAGGACATTGCAATCAACTTGCTGCGCGAGAACAGCCAGGACCCGGATGCGATGATGATCCGTGCCCGCGCCTTCTATGCCCTCGGTGAAACCGAGCAGGCACAGAAGGTTCTGAAGATGTGCCTCGGGCTGGACCCGGACATGAAGCAGGCCATCAAGCTACTGCGCATTGTGCAGAAGTTGTCTCGCACAAAAGAGGAAGGAAACACCGCTTACAAGGCCAGGGACTATCGCCGTGCTATCGATCTTTGGGCACAGGCTCTCGAGGTTGACCCCTCCAACAAGGATATGAATGCCAAGATTCTGGGTAACCGTGCCCAGGCTTATATCAACTTGAAGGAGTATGATTCTGCCATTCAGGACTGTACCGAAGCGCTCCGTCTCGACCCCGGGTATACGAAGGCTATGAAGTACCGTGCCAAGGCCCAGGGCAAGGCCGGTAACTGGGAGGAGGCTATTCGTGACTATAAGAGCGTTGCTGAGAACAACCCCGGCGAGAGCGGCATTGCGGAGGAGATCCGCGAAGCTGAATTCGAGCTGAAGAAGTCTCAACGCAAAGACTACTATAAGATTTTGGGAGTCGAGAGTGATGCCAGCGAACAGGAAATCAAGAAGGCCTACCGCAAGTTGGCTATTCTATATCACCCAGATAAGAACCGTGACGGTGCAGCCGGCGATGAGAAGTTCAAGGAAATTGGTGAAGCCTATGAGAATTTGATTGATCCTCAGTAAGTCCGCCACAACTTTCAACCCCATTCGACACAATGCTAACCTCATTAGGAAACGTGCTGCTTTCGATAACGGAGACGATCTGAGGGACCCAGCTGACATGTATGGCGGCGGTGGTTTCCCCGGTGGTGGAGGTTTCGGCGGCTTCGGTGGCGGCGTTCACCACATCGATCCCGATGTTCTTCGAAACATGATGAACGGCGGCGGCTCCTTTGGTGGCCACGGCGGCTTTTCATTCTAGATGATGCCATCGAACTCATCCTATTCACCCGATACCACGACCGATTCTTTCATCTTTTGTCTCAAGATGACCAAACTCAAAACAGGAATTGCATGTCTTCGACCGGAGTTGGAGTTGCACCTCGATATCTCACACATTGCTCTGTTGGATACTGGGGTTTCACTTTTTTGCCCACTGCCCGCCATATCACGATTTTTTTGTTTCCGCGGAGACGCCATATGATTCCCGATCTGATAGATTTGATATTGTTTTTTTTTTTTCCCTTCGGTCTAATGTTTTCTTTCCCCATTGTGGCCCCCTTCGGATAATTTGTATATGAGTGCTGCAATCTGGAATGGATCTACGAGAGCAGTACATCTATGGACGTGAAATCAATGTGTACGGAATATCTACAAGCTCTACATCCGATCAACCATTTTCGGCGTTCGTCTATTTTTTTTATTGCTCTGGGGTTTACTCCAATGTGGACTTTGACATAAAGATTTGCTTCGCATCTTTCGGCTCTCGATACACTTGGTGAGGTTGTCACTCTTTACATAGTCAAGTAGAAGAATATGCGGCGTATATACCTGCATGACACTCATAAAACAAAGATTTCTCAGATATGATTCATTCTCTTCTACTTTCTAGTTACATGCAGCCCTCTAGGGCTCGTGAGGTTCTCTTTACCTATTATGACAATGCTACATTGATCACCATACATGGTCGATGACATCAAGTTTGAGGAACCATCATACAGAATAAGGGTTGGGCATGCCATGTAACTATGCATAATAAACAATATATGTAAGCTGTCGTAACGTTTGTGATATATACTTTCCCTCATGTTGAAAAACCGTAATAATAAACATAAAACAGATAAACCAGGGGAATCTCAAAAGATAATGGGTTGAAGAAGACAAGAGTAACGAATGGATATACTGGACAGAAGAGCATCAAGCAAACTCCGCCGCTAATGAGTGATGACGTTCAAGTCGAATCGAACACAAGAAGGGCATATAGAGATAAATGGTGGGATATAAATAAAATGCAAGAAAGGTAACAAGAACGCTGGCATAACAAGGTTTCAATCAAACATAACCGAGAGCACCGAGCATAGTTTTGCAATCAGGGACCGGCAGAGAGCACACACCCAGCGAGCGGACCAGAGCTCCAGCCCGGAGCCGCTGGAGACCGATAGCGACCTTCCAGGCCTCAGTATCCTGCAGCACAAAGACATACTTCTTGCCTTCTTGGTCACGAACACTGGCGCGGAGAATGTGCAGACAACGAGACCCCTGGGGCGGGTGGACAGGGCCACCATCATGGCTGGCAGTAGCACTGCGCGAAGCTAGGCGGCAAGTATTTTTGCATACTTTAAGCAAGTGGCCGAGGAAGGCCTCTGATTCTTCGCTGGTGGGAACGTTGTTCCCACGACGGAAAGAGAAAGGGTTGCCGGACGCGTTTTTGGCGGATGGAGCAGAGTTTAACTGTGGACACCACACCTCCGCCAGCTTGATGGTCCATGCTTTGACGTCCCACTCACGCTGGCCGATGCCGCGTAGGTCATCGTCGATGAAGAGACCTTCGGTTGTGATGCGCAGCACCAGCCCATCGGTGATCATACCTTGGCCTGAGACAAGTTGCGCCACTGGGGTCTTCATAAAGGCATTATTGAAGGCGTATACACCTTGGATCACAATCTTGTCTGGATCCTTGGTGGAATATGTACTGCGATGTGAGGGGGGAGGTGTTGTGCGCGCAGTCGAGTGAGAAGGTGTATAAGAAGACTCGGAGTATACTGAGCCAGCCGCATATGGCCGCCGTGGTCGGTCGTAGGGACGAAAGGAGTACGCATCGTCATCGTTGGCAGGTTTGGTGGTTGGGTGGGGTGCTGGTTTCTTGGGAGAAGGTGTGCGAGGCACATTGCTAGTACTAGCTGACTTGAGTTTGGCAGCGGCCTCTTTCTTTGCGTCTTGCGCCTTCTTCTCAGCGTATTTCTTGCTTGCTGCTTCCTTGAGCGCCGCAAATTTGGCTATAGCTTCTTTCTGAGCGGCGGCCTTTGCGGCAGCCTTTTGCTCAGCAGCTTCTTTAGCGGCCGCCTCTTTAGCTTCTGCTTCCAACTTTTCGAGTTGAGCCTTCGCCTCAGCTTCGGCCTTTGCCTGTCTCTCGCGGGACTCTGCGGCTTCCTTCTCCAGTTGCTCGCGTGCCTCCTTCTCTACAGCGGCCCTAGCAGCAGCCATCTCCTTTTCGAGCTGCTCGCGCCGTTCCTGTAATTCTTTCTCCATTGCTTCGCGCTCGCGCTTTTTCTCTTTTTCTTTGGCATCTGCCTCACGCTTGCGCTTGAAATCCTCCATCTTTCGGCGTAGCTCCTCTTTGCGTCTCGTTTCTTCTTTTGCTCGCTCCCGTTCGGCTTCTTCTTTGGCTCGTTCCCTAGCCCGTTCCTCTCTAGCACGCTCTTCCTTGACGCGTTCTTCTTTAGCACGCTCCTCCTTAGCACGTTCCGCTTTGGCTCGCTCTTGCTTAGCTCGTTCTTCTCTAACGCGCTCTGCTCTAGCATGTTCTTCCCGAGCACGCTCCTCTCTGGCTCGCTCTTGTTTAGCTCGCTCCTCCTTAGCACGTTCCTCATTAGCGCGCTTTTCAGCCTCCTCCTTTTCACGTTTGTTATTATCAGACTTTGGAGGAGAACCAGAGCCATATTGATTACCGGAATATTGGTTGCCGTGGGTTTGTCCTCCACCAAAGTTTCCTCCCTGTTGTCTTTGCTGACCCGCCCCGTTGCCGCCGTAATTGGCACCCGACGACTGTTGGTTGGTGTTTGGACCGGCGTTCCTAGAGCCACCCGAGCCCCCAGAACCACGACCAAAGCCACCAAATCCGAACCGCCCACCACGTGCGCCGCCATTGCCTTTATCTCCCGAGCTACTGGACTGAGTGGAGCCAAAAAGCCATCCAGCGACACCCACCCCGATCCCAAGTACCGCCATACCCGTACCATTGCCGTTAGTGACCGTGGCTAGATACCAAGCCTTCACAATCGGGGAGAGGTACGACCATACAAAACATGCGAGGAGGGTGCTTGCGACGCCAGCTAGGAAACTGTTTCGGTTGCACTGCAGGGAAGGAAGGTAGAGGAAGCCCGAGCCAGCGGAGTGAGGTGGGATGATAAAAATGTCGTAGTTGCCATCTGGCAGGTCTGAGGATTTGCGATATTCTCCTTCAGTCGTATGGGGATTTTCTCCATGAGGCGGCGGCGGCGGTGGTGGACCGTCCATGTTGGATCAGCCTGGAGCGACGACAGTGTATATATATATATATATATGTGCCGCAGTGCAGCGAAGTGCAACGTCGATCGAACGACTAGCTATAACCTGGGTTGATCCACCGGATCAATCCTAGATGGACAAGTGCTCGCGGTCGAGAGTCAACTGCCAGGTCATATTAGTCTGACAAGTGTTGCACTGAGGCCCCAGGCGCTCAGTGCTGTGGAGGGTACTCAGATGCCAAATCCAAGAAAAAGCACACAACTAAGCTCAAAAATCCAAACAAAATCCAAATCTCAAAGCAAAAACCTGGAAGCGCGGGAGTACCTAAGTCTGACACGGGGGGGTTTTTGTTTGGAAGACAAGTGTGGGAGCTAAGGATCGGCGCCAACGCTTCCAGATCACTCGACGTGGCCATCACATCAAAAACAAATTTGACAATACAAATGAGCAAACGCACTAGAAAAAGACCTCAATTCTTATCTGCTCCCATCTATTACCCGAATTATGTAGAATTCCCCGGAGGCCACGCGATTCTACGTGGCTATACCGAGCTAAGGGATGGAATTACAGGAACAATTACAGTGAGCTTTTTGACTAGTTATAGCAATGAAATTGTTCAAAGCTATGACTACATAGTGCTTGTTCTCAATTAAGGGGCTTTTGAAAAAGCCTTTCGACCTGCACAGGCATCAATGCTCAGAGTCCTGTCAACATCGCAAAAGTACGACTGTTTTGTTTTTATCTTACTATTTTGGGAAATTTACCGCTCGGAATATCGTTCCTCCATGATTCCGACCGCCTTGCTCTCCGCTTTCTTGCACTGTTGAGATATGGAGGAAGGGTTATTATTAGGTGGGGAATAGAAGCAAAAAAAACCAGTTAGAGGCTTATAACCCAGGTCCAAAGATGTATAGTATCTCGCATGCTGCTATATCATACATCCTACGTCAATTTCGCAGTTAGCGCCCTTCTCTGTGATCAAGAGGTATTCGTATTGGCCGCTTGAGCCTCTTCCCGGCACGTTATTAGAAGCCCGGGGTGCTCCGGATGTTGACATTGTTTGTTAAAAGTCCAAGCATGCGAGCGTCATGTAGGTTGTTTTCACGAGCGGTTGCAGTTAATGCCTGTGTACCTCGAGCCGCGGACCAGCGCGAAGAATATTCGGTCCAAGTATGTATTTCAAGTGTCTTCGCCGAGCATATAGCGCTTGGGGCGGAGCGCTGAAAACACTTGTTAATCTTGCGGTCAAGCGGTTGGGGGAGATAATTTGAGCGTAGTGGGTCCAAGGTATTCGACTTGGAGGATGTAGCCACCGAGGCTTGTTCACTGGATTAGAGCTGATAGTAGGGTGGAGAGTGCGGTAAAATGTGACTCCCATGTTGGGGCTCCTGCTTCATAAAAAAAAAAAAGAAAAAAAAGGAGGAAAGCAGCTATGTCGTGGATCTCACGGTCACCATACACGGTTGCGAGAGCGCCGTATCAATATACGGAGTAGACGTCCCATGACCGGGACATGAGGTGTAGGACCATGACCAGGGAGAAGAGGACATAGGGTCCTATGAGAGGCAATTAAGATTCATCCTGGCCCACTTCGGTCATGCTAAACACTGGATAACTATTAGTCTGCCAGTGGGAAGACACATTGAAAGTCATCATTTAGGAGAAGTGAAGGTGGAAAACAACCCCGATGGTGAGGGACAAGACTCGGCATAACGTGATCCGCAGCCGGTGATTGGGTGGCCTTCCACTTGAGATTCCAATACCTCCTCTCTCTCCATCTGAGTGTTGATCGTTTTCTTTTTATCCCATCTCAGCTTCAAATATTCTTGTCATCCCCCTGTAATAGTCTGGTAGTCAGGTACTACCCCGTGTCTGCGCCTCTCCGCCTCTCCGCCTCTTCGCCAACCTGTCCTTTTAGTCCTCTCGCAGGCACCTATCTCCGCCAACCTCGAATCCCCCTCAATCTCCGTCTCACTCTCTATGCCGCGTCGCTAGCCACCGAGAACCGCTTTACGACCTGCCCTTGAAGGGCACCCCGGCACCATGTCCTCACAACCTACCCACGGTCATCCCGCGACGTCACGTCAATTCCCCGTCTACAATCCCGTCGCCGTAGCGGCAGCACCTGCGGGGACCTTGCTTCCGGGCACTAAGATTCAAGTTGGCAACCATCGCGTGGTAGTGGAGAAGTATCTCTCTGAGGGTGGTTTTGCTCATGTCTACGTGGTGCGATTGCCTCAGCCAGTCAATGGGTCCGAAACCGCAGTGCTGAAGCGAGTGGCCGTGCCTGACAAGGCGGCCCTTGCCAACATGCGCACTGAAGTGGAAACCATGAAGAAGCTCAAGGGCCACCGGCACATTGTGAAGTATATTGATTCGCATGCCTCGCAGCTGCGCGGAGGTGGATATGAGGTGTTTCTGATCATGGAGTACTGCGCGGGCGGTGGTCTTATCGACTTCATGAACACCCGGCTCCAACACCGGTTGACAGAGCCGGAGATCGTGAAGATATTCTCCGATGTTGCTGAAGGTGTTGCGTGCATGCATTATCTCAAACCGCCCCTCCTCCATCGTGATCTGAAAGTTGAGAACGTTCTGATCTCGGGCAAGGGGAGTTCCCCAACTTACAAACTGTGTGATTTTGGATCATCAGCACCCCCTCGTCCTGCTGCTACTTCCGCCGCTGAGGGTCGCTTGATCGAAGATGATGTGCAGCGGCATACAACCCTGCAGTACCGAAGCCCAGAAATGATTGACGTCTACCGAAAGCAACCGATTGACGAGAAGAGTGATATATGGGCACTTGGTGTGTTTTTGTACAAATTATGCTACTACACAACCCCCTTCGAAGAGGTCGGTCAGATGGCTATTCTCAACGCGACCTTCAAATACCCTTCCTATCCTCCCTTTTCGAGTCGGCTAAAGCTGTTCATTGGTAAGTTTAAGACTTTGATTTAATTTATAATCGATCATCAATGGCTGACAGCTGCGCACAGGCTCGATGTTGAAGGAAGATCCTCGCAATCGTCCCAACATATACGAGGTCGTGCGCGAGGTGTGCAAAATGCAAGGGAAGGAAGTTCCTATCAAAGACGTATGTCGGCCCATGTCTTTTTTTAGTGAAAACTTGATACTGACTGTCACGAAGATCTATTCCAAGCGCTCTGTTTCGGAGGCACGCAAATATCAAGAGCTACCGCCCACGCCCACGGAAACACCCGCGGTCGGCGCAGTATTTTCGCCTCCGATGCAGGAGACCGAGATAATCCCAGAAATTGCACCTATGCGGCGTGGCCGACCTGGCAAATCCCCGTCGTCTCAACTCGGCTCCGAGAGACCGAGTCCTGCGCCCTATCTAGCCGCTGCTGAAGGTTCATCAAATGATCCATTTGCAGCCCTGGATGGGAGCGCATCCCGAAAGAAGACGGCAGAGGAAATGTCTAAACGATTCCCCTCCTTGGACCAGTTTGACCTTTTGCATGAAAAAGGGGACAAGTTTGAATTCGAGCCAACAGTAGAATCCAAACCCGAGGACGAGGATCTATCTCGAAGACTTACCAACGCCCTAGCCGATGATGCTTTTGCCCGACGTGTCTCGCCCGAACGTGCTCCGAAGCCGGTCAGTAAGCGACTATCCCAGACATCTCCTGTCAGAGCACCGGATTTGCGTGAAATGCCTGCGCCGCAGGCTATTCCCTTGTACCAGCCAACCCCTCAGCGGCCCATGATGGTGTCGACAGGTACCATGACCTCACCCATCCAAACACCTCGTTTGCCGGAGCCAAATCCGCTGAGTCGCCCAATTTATCGATTCCCTTCGTCTGATAATGAACCCCGATCTTCCAGCGAGCCATTTACAACCGAGCAGGAACAAAGAGTGACACGCCCGCACAAAGCACCGTCCCCCCCGATGCCGAGTTTGAATGTGGAAGGAAGCTCGCGGCTGCCATCTGACCGCATACCCAGCCAGTCTAACTCCGCCCGCCCCTCGATGGAAACCTTGAGACGGCCTTCAGCATTAGAGGTAAATGATCCTGTGGGACGTTCTAAATCGGCTATCGGAAAGGCTCGGCCAATGTCCGTCCAGCCGGGAGCCAGGTATGACCAGCCGCGTGACTCTGATAGCCCGCGGGCTTCGCTGGATATGTCCCGCCTACAATACGATGGTGGCGCGCCACTGCGGTCAGTGCGTACGGATGTGGATCGTGAGTCTGATCGGATTATTTCCTCTGACATCGATTACCTACGCGCGATGGAAGAAGAAGAGAGCAATCGGAAGCGTGAGAAACGCTCTAGTAATAGCCACAAACACAACAAACGCGCTAGTCTGTCTACGTTGTCGCTTTCTGGAGGGAAAAACCTATTTGCCGGTCGATTCGGCGACGCATTCCGCCGATTCGAAGCGGGCAACCAAGACAAATCCGCATCATCATCGCCAGAGGATGCGCCTCGGCAGGGTCTGATTGGGACTTGGGATTCAGCCGACGATGGTCTTTCGCCGAATGACGAGTTTGCCTTGGAAGACGCGGACAGGGACGACATATCACCAGAGATGCGCCGGGAGCTGGAACGCCGCCGACTCTCTCAAGAGGAGAAACGCGTTGCCAATGCCGCAGCTGAGTACCGGCGTCGGGTTGCCGAAACGGGTGACGGGGGTGGCAGAGTGATAGGCGATGGTGCACGCTCCCGCGCAATTCAGAGCAAGGTACAGTCGTTGCTCGGAGAGTCTGAAAAACCGACCATTCCAAAGACTGCTACTGGATATGGACGGTTCACGGAGACTTCCTCTTCTTTGCCGGCAAAGCAGAGTGAGGCCAGATCCGTCACCTCTAGCCAGCTGCTCGCTTCTCACACATCAAGTTCGACCTACACTCCTCGTGAGAGTTCGACGGCCCTCCCAGATCGCCGAGATGGACCTAATATCTCCGCAAGTCTCCCGCAATCTGTCACCCCTACCAGTCACCCATCCGCGCAACGTCCCGCAAATCGACCAGCTGCACCACCTAAACCCAAGAATTTGCGCGCTGGCGCAGCCACCTCGCGACCGGGTACTGGCCATAGTTCCTCCCAAGAGACTCCGGCAAGCCCTACAGGAGAGGACTGGGAGGCCAAATTCAGCCAACGGTTCCCAAGCTTGTCCGGGCTTGAAATGGAGACAGAGATCAAAATTCCGAATCTTTCTAGCTTGAGGACACGGGAAGTGTAGAGCATAGGTTACAATTCTTGTTTGTTTCACTTGATGCGGTTTCAGCGTGTGTTCGCCGTGCGGACGCAACTCGGGGAATGAGATCGGTTCCCACGAGCTATGCATATATAGATAGTGACATATTGGAAACTACATAAGTTCTTTTTAAAAATTTGTCTCCGAAAACACTAGTTAGTTAGTAGTTTCCTTTGTTTTCTGTAATCGTAGATGGGATCAAGTATCCCCCACACCGCCTTTGTTTCTCCCCGCAATAGCAAGAGAAACCTCATCTTGAGTTTGTGAACCGAGACCTCTTTCAATCTATTATATTATGGCGCCAGTGACTTTGAAAACGGTCGATGGTGAGTTACGAGCACTAGGTAGCTCTGAGAGTGCACATGCTAACTCCTCACACAGACGACCTCAAAGATGTGATCCAGCACTTATTCGAGATACAATCCGCCGTCCACGGCTATCTGGGCCCAGAGACACAGCAAGAGCTTGTGCGAAAGATGTACGTCAGCTGCAATAGCATCCTATGCACTCTCCATTCATTGTGCCTATAAATGTGCCCCGTCAGAACGAAACACTTCCCGACAAGCAACATCACTAAACCCCAACCCTAACCAACCAAAACTAATACACTCCAGCAAAAATCTAACACTCGCCCTTTCGACCCTGTCAACACACACACAACTTTCGCCAACACAAGAAACCCAACCAGACACCAACACCGATCCTTCTAACCCCTCCCTCGCCAGCATCCAGCTCCCACCAGAGATAATCGACTACGTCGACTCGGCGCGCAATCCGGATATCTACACGCGAGAGTTCGTCGAGCTTGTGCAACGTGGTAATCAGGACCTGCGCGGGAAGCGCGAGGCCTTTGCGAGCTTCCGTGACGTGCTGGCCCGCGAGATGCGCAGCGCTATGCCCGAATGCCGCAGCGAGGTTGATCGCGTGGTCGCTGCGACGGGTGGGACGGTTGATGGATCCGGAGGTGTCGCTGAAGATGCGGCTATGTCTGGTAGTGGAAATTGAAGGCTCTTGTGGTGAGGCTATTAGATGCAAGTCTGATATTCCTGGTTGGTAGAGTTCCCTTTTGTTGGCAGGGGGTCGACGCTGTTGCCTGAGGTCTACTCCGGTCTTGATATTCGGTCCTTGCCTTCAGCTGTTTGTTTGAAGTTCATGGAGCTGGTGCATTCATTGGAGTTTTTTATGGTTTGCATTGAGCGCGGCGCTTGCAAAGCTTTTTTATTCCGGTTAGCGCGTGTAGCCTTTATAGCGGCTTTTTGATCCTTAATAATTTAAGCATTAAGCTTGAAAACGTTACTCACCTGTATTATTTACTCTATAGCTAATACCGCCCGCCAAGAAGAACGCAGAGATATGCTTTATGGTGCCTGATAAACAAGGCTACTATTTATGTAAGTAATGCTACGGCTGACGTCATCCAATGGAATGCCCAGGTGAAGCAAATCTCGGATAGTTTTCCGACCTCATGAAGCACAATGCAAATTCGAAAGAGAGTAGCCGTAGCGTGTGTGCGTTGTCGCCATAAAAAGGTGCGTATTCTTGGCCTCTACATGGGATTCGAACTTATTATTGGATCAAACAAGTAGTTGAAGTGTGATGGCCAGCGGCCCCAGTGTGGGAACTGTCTAGCCAAGAGCCTCGATTGTCGGCTATGCGTGGCCCAGAATAACCCGAGGTACAAATGAGACTCCTACGACCAAATTTCAAGTTGCTGATACTTCGCTTTTGGGCCGACCATCCATCGCATTGTGGAATTAGAGGAGGAGAATGAAATCCTTCGACAGAAATGTGCCCAATTCCAAACTAGCACTTCTGCCGAAAGGGTTCTATCGGACCCGGAGCATTCTGTTACATCGGAAAGCACTCCACATACCCCATTGCCATTCTCGAGAGTAACAGGTATTGGTCTCTCGCGGAATGACTCTCCCTCCGTTCCAACTAGAGATGCATCACACCCAGAAATACCGGAGAACGACCGCAGAAACACATCATTGTATCATGGGCCAACAAGTACGGTGTATGATGATACCAGTCCGAACTATAATGAGCAGAATAGACTAGGTCCATCCAACGAAGAGGGAACAAGGCATTTTCTCTTTTCCCAGACAGCGAGGCAGAGCAAGTCGCACCTTCTGCAATACCAGATATGGTTATGATACTAATTTGGAAAGAACAGGACAGCTTGAGCCACTCAATCTTGCTGCCGGAAGACTCGATTTTGATGGTATCGATCCTGATATTGGCATGCATCTACTCTCCATATATTGGAGTCGTCAGCTTTACACAGCACAGATAATTTACCGGCCGGCTTTCATGCGAGATATGGCCTGCGAGGGGCCGTACTTCTCTAAATTGCTGTTGAATGCGATATTTTTTGTAGTGTCGAAGCACTGCGACCGACCAGAGCTTCGTTCCGATCCAAATGACATTACGACTGCAGGATGGAAGTTCCGGCAACGCTTCACGCAGCTTTTGCGAGATTGCTTTGATAAAAGCGAAATCACTACCCTTCAGGCATTATTGATTATGTCTAATGCGCTTTTTTCCAGATGTGATGAAAGGAGTCTGTCATGGCTCTACGCTGGAAATGCCTTCAATATGTTCATTGATCTTGGTCTGCATGTGCTTCCTGCTGTGGATAGTATCCCTGCCGAAGAACTTGAAATTCGAAAGCGAGTTCTCTGGGGAGCATACTGTGAGCTATCACTTTTCTGCACTGGGTATTGTCTTACGAGTCGTCTCTAACTTCTGATAACTAGTTATTGATAAGATCCAGTGTCTTTTCCAAGGGAGACCTCCCCTTCTCAACCGTGTCAATGTGAGCGCGTCACTGGACTTTCTGGATGACTTTGACGAGCTTGAACCCTTTCAGGGTATCACATACATGACCACAAAGCCTCGAGTAGTGGTTCCATCGCTTAATGTTTCTTTACTCACTAATTTATGCGAGTTGACAACGATTGTGGAACGTATTCTCCGAGAGATTTATTCAGAATCTCGAGAGTCAAATCTGGTTCACCGAGCAAATATCTCAAGGGAAATCAAGTCACAGCTGAGAAACTGGCGCGAAAATTTGCCTCGTCGGCTTGACTATCTGTCATTCCCAGACCAGGCGGTTCTCCTTCCTCAGTCTGCCTGTCTTTTGTATGTTCTTTTCACCAACCAGGACAAATTGATAGCTACTAATTTTTGCCAAGAGCTCTATTCAATGTGCTTATTATTTTGCTCCATCGTCCTTTAATAACCGGCCACGACGGGGTCATCAATTCAACAACTGCCCACGAGTCGGTGAATGCATGTACCGCAGCTGCGAACCAAATTGTTCAGATTCTCCATGACTACTCGCAGCATTTCTCTTTGAGCAGTGCACCATACATGCTCTCATATGCTACGTATATCAGTGCAACGATCCACGCACGAATTGTGGCCCAGAAAGGGAGTAACTCAACCATGTTCCAATCACTGGTTTTTTGCCGAAATATTCTTATTGAACACACACGCCTCTATTCTGCAGCAGAAAAGGCCAGGGAGAATTTGGATAAGTTGATTTCTCACTTAGGAATCAATGTTGCAGACGACAATCAACGCGCTGGAAGCGCAGGGAACAACTTTCCCAGCGAGCACATGGTCATGCCCGAGTCTATTAATGTTGCCAGAGAATCCGGCGTCGCAGATCGTCCACTTGAATTTGGATCTTTTCAGATGAGTTTGGAATTATCGGATCTGGACCTTGAGGCAATTGCCCAAGGCTTTCAGGTTGATGTAGAGTCGAATTCGTTCTGGAATGCTCTGGTATGAATGACTGTATTCTCGCGACGGTGCATCTATGGATGTCCCTCATGACTTACGCGATCAAGAAGAGCGAGACCAACAAAATTCGTTTCAATAGTATATAGGATGCACTAGCTACCGTAAGGCCCAGAGGCAGTCCTGCCTGCTTTTTGAGTGACAATCTCCATCTCACTTGCGAGCGAGCTAGTCAGAGCACCAACGTCAGTTACAACATTGACAAAGTCATACCCCAAGTCGGCATATTTCTTTGCCTGCTTTCCATTTCCACAGTAGATTCCAGCCTTCTTGCCTGCCTTGTGCGCCGAAGACAGAACCTTCTCAATGGCTTGTTCCAACTCAGGCGCAAATGTACTACCTAGTACGGGGTGGCCGATACCATTTGCCAGGTCAAAAGGTCCGACAAACAATAGATCAAGCCCTTCAACGGCGGCGATGGAATCGACATTGTCAAAAGCCTCTCTCGTCTCAATCTGGACTGAGAGCAGAAGATTGGCATTGGCCTCAGTCAGGTACTGGGTGGCTGATACATTCCTACCAAACCTGTCCATCGGGAAAGGCGACCCGAAGCCTCGTTTCCCCTGTGGTGGGAATCGGCAGGCCTCGACGAAGGCCTTTGTGTCTTCCACTGTTCGTACAAGAGGAGCGAGGACTCCGTGTGCGCCTGCATCCAAAGCCCCTATACAAAGGATAAGAGATTGTCAAGTGGGCTAGCGATATACTCTGTTTAACATACGTTTAATCATCCAAGATTGGAAATCCGGAACGCGAACAATCGGGCTCACTCCATATGATACTATGGCGGGGACAGCTTCGTGCATTGCGGCGTCTGTGGGAATGTTAGCATGAGCTTTCGAATAATGACAAAAACACTAGCCATCGATATTTCCATGTTCACAGTCCACCAAAACCCAATCGTATCCAGCTCGTGCTAGAGTGCGCGACATGTTGCTGCCGGGCAATAGCTGCCACACTCCCAGAGCGAGGCCGCCATTGTCGAGCACTGTCTTTACATGGTTTAGACCTTGCATTGTCGATAAATTGATGCAGAGAGTTATTGGAAATTACATCAATGGAAAATTAACATCATATATCTAAGAGACCAATATCCGGGTAGTCACATCCCGAGAGGCAAAATCTCGGCTCATCTCCGTGATCACGCGGGGCATTTCAACAAATTGTCCCGAGTACGATTCCAATGATTCGACGTCAAATGTCTCGGAAAGTGTCTCCCGACTGTACTCCGCATTTTTCAAGGAAGCACAAATGGGAAGCCTGCCATATATAATCCATTGTCTCCCCTCACATCGAAATGTTTTATAACATTACCTCAATCGATAGTGCATCTATAACATCATGGCGTGTTCTGACAAGAAGTCCTGTGAAGGCTGTTCATGTAGCAATGACGCTCAACCTCAAGCAATCAACATCGAGGACTGTCTGAGTGAGTTGCAGGCCCTGCGACGACGCAACCAGGAACTAGAAATGCGCATGGGAGTCAAAAGCCAGGCAGACAATGCTCAAGTCCCCGTCAAACAACCTGGACGAACACTTCGTTCGTCCGCATGGTTCGACTGCCGCACCAACCCCGGCATGACAGCTGTCTACATGGAGCGGTACTTCAACTACGGTATCACCAAAGAAGAACTCATGTCTGGTAAGCCGATGATTGGAATTGCTCAGACGGGCTCGGATATTGCACCTTGCAATCGCCATCATATTGAGCTATCCAAGCGTGTTCGTGAAGGTATTCGGACTGCTGGAGGTATTCCATTTGAGTTTCCCACACATCCTATCCAGGAGACCTCGAGACGGCCCACTGCTACCCTTGATCGTAACCTGGCGTATCTTGGCTTGGTGGAGATCTTGACGGGGTATTTCCTTGATGGTGTTGTGTTGCTTACTGGTTGTGACAAGACAACCCCGGCTTGTTTGATGGCTGCGGCTACAATGGTGGGTATCAGACTCGAGGGATTCCTAGATCTATGCTGATGTTTCTAGAATATCCCTGCTATCTGCATGAACGTGGGACCTATGCTCAATGGTTACTCCAAGGAGGCTTTGACCGGAGCAGGCACTGTATTGTGGCATGGGCGAGAGCTTTACGCGACGGGTGACATTGACGAAAATGAGTTTATGGATTACATTGCCCGAGGGTATGCCATCTCCAAAACCCCGATTGATGACACCGGAATCTAACTCAAACTCAGAACTCCCTCAGTTGGCCACTGCAACACAATGGGAACTGCCTCGACGATGAATGCCCTCGCAGAGTCCTTGGGAATGGCCCTCCCCGGGTCAGCCGCCATCCCCGCTGCCTACCGTCACAGAGCTCAGTGTGCCTACGAAACTGGCAAACGGATCGTGGAAATGGTAGAGGCAGACCGGAAGCCTTGTGATATCATGACACGCGAAGCCTTCGAGAATGCCATTGTAGCAAACGCCGCAATCGGCGGCAGCACGAATGCTCCTATTCACATCAACGCCATCGCGCAGCACACAGGCGTAGAGGTGTCTATGGATGATTGGGATACCATCGGATCTACCATCCCGCTGTTGTTGAATATGCAGCCTTCGGGTGAATATCTCGGTGAAGAATATTACCGCGCTGGAGGCCTGCCGGCTATCATGGCTGAGCTATTAGACCAGGGAAAGCTGAACGGCGATGTGCTCACTTGCAATGGCAAAACCATTGCCGAGAATGTCCGTGGGAAGCATACATGGGATCGGCGTGTCATTAAACCATATGACGATCCATTGATGAAAGATGCCGGATTCGCTCACTTGAAGGGTAACCTCTTCGACTCTGCAATCATGAAGACATGTGTCATTTCACCCGCATTCCGGAAGCGATACCTCTCCAACCCCGATGACCCGGAGGCATTTGAAGGGTCTGTTGTGGTGTTTGATGGACCCGAAGATTACGAACATCGCCTGGAGAATACGCCATACATCGACGAGAAGACCATCCTCGTTATGCGCGGTGTTGGCCCAATCGGATATCCTGGAGCAGCGGAGGTCGTCAATATGCATCCGCCAGCCCGACTCTTGAAAGAGGGTATCGATGGACTTTTCTGCATCGGGGATGGTAGACAATCGGGAACATCTGGGTCACCTTCTATTTTGAATGCTAGTCCCGAGGCCGCAGCTGGAGGCAATCTTGCTATTTTGAAAGATGGGGATAGGCTTCGAATTGACTTGCGCAAACGGCGGGTTGATATGCTCATTACCGATGATGAGATTGAACAACGAAGGAAAGCATTGGGTACCAAGGGATACCCCATTGTCCCTAGTGGTACTCCGTGGCAGGAGATCTTCCGCCAGGAAACTGATCAACTGAGCCATGGTATGGTTCTGCGAAAGGCAGTCAAATATCAGCGACTAGCTCAAGAAGGCCAGCCACTGCGCCATAATCATTGATACGCAGTCGCCTTGGTTAGGTTTTTACCTAGAAAATTATTACATCTATAGTTCTATCAGAGATTTGTCTATCGTAATACTCCAAATATCGCATGTTATATATTGAATAACACCTTTTGTGGGAACTATGGTTTATGACCATCGAATACATAGTCCTACAACAACAAGGTAACATTGAGGATGACACGGTGAATGGGATGCCAGAAACGGCCACTTTTGACGCTGTTTTAAGCCGCTCGCTCATCGTGGTCGGTCTTGGCGTCACGTGCAACAAAGCCTACGCACGACCCGTTTACTGCCACCTGTGACTCGGGTTGTGCCTGGTTGGTGCCTGGGCCCATTGATCGACCGACATCGTAGTGAATCTGCTTTCCTTCAACTGACGCCCACATGTTCCGAATTCTGTGCTTTCCCGAGGCCTTGATTCGACGCAATGTCGCTACACGGGCAAAAATGCCGTCCCTGCAGAATCTTCCCGATGAATTGCTGCTCAATGTGATCAACAAACTTTTGGTATACAACGTCATGGCCTTGCCACAACAAAGCCGTGGAATACATGCTCTATGTGATCTGAAAAATCGCGAGAAATATCATCGATTGAAGTTCGGCCGAGAGAAGTACCCGCAGACCCATGAAGCTGTACTCCAAGCTGGACCAGACACATTACTTGCCATCTTACGAACTGCCCTCCTTGGAGATTATCTTCGGCGTGTGGACCTGTACGGAACTGGAATGATTGATTTGATCCTGAATCCAAGAATTCCATTCGAGATTCTATACTTTCCCCTAAGGACATCGACAGGCTCAAGCAAGCAATCCTAGGCGCCGGCTTCCAAGATGCACAGGAGCGCGAGTCAATTTTATCTATGCTTTCACGAAACCTTGCTGAATTCCAGTAGCTTTTATCTCTATCTAAGAATATCTCAGGGAGTGCTACGCTTGTTGCTTACTAGTAATATAGATCTGATTCAAGCACGGAAGAACTTCAGTTTAAAGATGCCCTGATTACGCTCTTAGTTGCAGCTGCCCCGAATCTTGAATTCATTTCAATGTATCCATTACTGGAATACATTTGATTTTAATCTGCTAGGAATCATGAAAGGGTGAGTCTTCTCCAAACATTACTATATCGGGCCTCTACGTCTACAGAATCGGTATCTTACTGCCAAAATCTACGAAATATTAACTTCCACCCAGACGATAAGCTTAATGAATTCAATGAGTACGTTGAAGACCCATATTATCATCGGCTTGATATGGTCCGTAAACTACCGGCTATTGAATCGGTCGCTTTTAAGCTGGTAACGTGGAGCAATGAAGCCGGAATACCACCTCCCCGTTCCGCCAACTATAGCAAGATCAGCTTTACACATTCTATAATGGAAATCTGGGATCTTTGCCGTATCATCGAATCCGCCAAGACCTTGAAAAGTTTTACTTCCACTATCGGTGATCGTTTATACCCTGAGGGTGGCAACCCCTCGTTATACGTGACTCCGATATTCAAGTCCCTTTGGACAAACCGCCAGACTTTAGACGAATTGAATTTGGAAATATAGAGCGAGACATCTCGGCAAGAATTATATGATGAGGAATATCAATCCTGTCAAGAAGATAGGATGACCGAAGACGACCGAAAAGGTTATATGAGGAGCAATGGGCAGACGAGCTGCAGGAGCTAGTCGCCCTAGAAATCGCACCCGTACGTGTCTCCCTGAAAGACTTTTCGCAGCTCAAGCATCTCAGTATTGAAGCCCATACGCTATGCTATCTAGCTCGAGGTGCAGGAGATGGCAAGAAGCAGCTTGACTCAAAGTCTCCCAATCTGATCTAGATGTCAATGCCCAAATTGAGCAGCTGGCACGTGAGAAAGATGCTAAATTACCAGGACTAAAGATTTTTCAAGGCGTTGATCCTCGTATTCCAAATGGCAGGATTGTGAATGAAGAGGCGGATGAAAATGATCTAGAACTTTTCTGGAAAGATCCAGATGACAACAGGTTTGACCACAATGTCAATAGCATCAATGCTGTCACCAGTGTAAATTAGCCCTACAAATTTAAGGCCTTGGCAGAAAAAGAGTTACAGTGTGCGTCAAGCCAATTTCGAGAACCACTATAGAACACATAAATGTTTGCATCTCCTGACTCTATTCGCAACAATTGAGCCTTATAAATAAATCTTTGCCAGGTCACTAGTACCGAGGAAAATACAAGATTCTTGATATTATATCTCTAATGAAGTATACGAAGAGAGGAGAGTCAACGACATAAATATGCTTAGCCAATGAATTCCTGTTGTCCAATGTGCTGCTATACCGCGCCGTAGTTACCCGGCTAACATGGCGCACACACCATTCACAGGTGAACACCATGCACCTGCTGTTTCATCTTCTTGACATTGAGATCCTTCCAGAAGAAGCATGAAGTCCACGTTATAATATAAAGACAAGTAGCGGTAATGAGCATGAGTCGCTGGGTCTCACCATACGCATGGTCAATAGCATCGCGAGTAGCTGTGCCTTTGGCGTAGGACTGCTGGACAACCAAGGAGCCGTAAATGGTAGTCAAGTTCGCCTGTGCAGAAGCCGGGAGGAGCTCCTTTAACTTGACAGGGAAAATACCAGTCCACATAGCGACAGCGACAGTACCTCCGAGGGCGCTACCGATACTAGCAACGACACCCTCGATAGCCAAAATAGCCGGAATGTTTCTCTGGGAAGAAACAGCCATGACAGTCATCTGCTCGCAGATGACGAGGGTGCCACCACCGAATGCAACGAAGATCTGGCACATCACGATGTATCCAATGTTCGAATCGGGTTGGCGGAATTTGATCATGAGGCCAACCCCAAGGATGGTAAGAGGAACACCGAAGCAGATGGCCCACCACTTCAGGCGGCCCTGGTAGCGAAGGATGGCTCCGAAGACAAGGCACCAGAAGCACGAGCCCATGGTGTAAATGTTGGAGATATAGGTTGCTTGCGTGACGGTTTGGTTGAACATCACCTGCAAGAGGGAATAGAAGTAGCTATCCCAGATGTACCAAGCCAAATACAGAGATACCACCATGGAGAAGGTGAAGAAGACAGTCCGGTTTTGGATTAGCTCCCAGGGCATGAACTTCACTGGCGCAAAGTATCTCTCCCAGAACGTGAACGCGATAATCAAACAAAAGCCAATAACCACGAAACAGATGATCATCGGGGAATGCCATTCCCCACGTTGATAGGAGTATAGGTTGAATGACAACAGGAAGAGAGAAAAGCCTGTGGCGATGATAAGCAGACCAATAACATCAAACTCAATGCAGTAGTAGACGATGGACTGCCAGAGAGTTCGTCCACTGTTCTTCTTCTCCGTCAAGTTCATCTTTTCGGCCTTCTTCTGGGTATAATACCACAGACCCCAGAGCGGAGCACTGATAACGGGCATGACGATGGCAAAGATACCAAAGCCCCATCGATACCCGATGCCGTCCGGGGCAACGATCTGGTTCGCAGCGTAACCGTAGACCCAAGGCGTGATGAGATATGGAGAAGCGGCATAAGCAATCCAGAAAGCCCGGTTCTTCAAAGCCGTAGTATCGGCAATGAAGATGGTCATAGAGAAATCGATCATGCTGAACCCAGTCTGGTAGAACACCTGAGCAGCACAATATGTTTGTACATTCTTGCAGGCTGCCATCATGACTAGTCCGAGAGTCAGAGATCCAACACCGACTGCAAAGGCCTGAGGTCGACCCCAAACATCCATAAGTTTCGCGTAGGGGAACTTGACCAGAGCGGAGATCAACGAAGCGATGACAGAAGTGAGACCCGTTAAGGAGTGTAGCTCGAAACCGCTATAGATATATGGGGATAAGGAACTGAGCAGTCCAGAACTGAAGTATTCTAAAAAGTTGACGACCCAGACGCTTTAATTTGTTAGCTAAAGAAGTTCCTTGGGGGGTCGGCACCAGATGGAACTTACAGAACATAGGCTGCAATCAAGGTGTTCTTTGTCCAGGCTTGGGTGCTTGCCTGGGCTTTCTGAGTACCAGCCTGCGCTTTTTGATCAACAACTTCGACGTCCGACGAGGCCCGATCGGTCTGATCCAAGTTTTCCAAGGCAAATTTGGAGTCGGCGTGAGCCTTTAGGTCAGGGGCATCAGTCGTTTGTACCTCCTCAGAGGACGCCGTGCGTGCAAATGGGTTGACGAAGCGCTTTCTCACACCCATGGTTTTGACAGTCAGACCTAAAATCTCGGTTCAAACTTGAAATCCTCCGTTGAAATTTGAAAAATGGGATCCTGAGTCATGGGAAGAGCCTGAACTTATGACAGCAAAGTCTGAAAACTAAAGAAAACGTACGGCTTCGGGGGCTAGTTTCCTCGACACCGGTTTTATACTGCAGCACAGTAGGTGTAAACGAAAATTTCACCATACCGGGAAAATACCTAGAGCACGGAGTAGATTGGCTAGGGAGACGAGCTAAACACAAGCTAGTCAGAAAATGTACTGGCCACCGATGATCGAAATTTCGTTTCTTGTATGAAGCATGTATTCCCGAGGTCGGTAGGTCAGGCGATCCTTGAGGCCAATGAGAGAGCCAGTCAGGGATTTTTTAAAGGGACCAAGCACAAGATTTACATCCACCGACCCACTCGTTATGGTTGATCCGCCTTATCTGATTGATCTGATTGATTTGATCCGGCCCGGTTGTCCGTTTTCGGCTATACAAAGTTTGTATGTACGTACTTCCAAGGTTTGCAGTTCTCATCCTTTTCGGGAAATCTCCGAACCTGGTCTTTGCAATGTGCTAAGCGATGTGATTCATGCACTTGTGCTGCATATGCAGGAAACGGCACCGGAAGTGCGAAACTTATATGCAGGAAGAACTTAATACGCCTACAATGAGAGAAAAATGAGAGATACTGATAATAACTCGTTGCTTTTGAGGTAGAAATATACTAGTACTAGAGTCCAAATGGATAGGTTTCGCTCTTTCCAAGCGGCGTCTGGGGCTGCATTACTTCCAAGGGTTGAACAGCCTTGGTTCTATCAAACCAGATATAAGCATCAAACTGCTTGTGGAGGAAGGTTTGCGAGTAGTGGGAGGCACGCTCGGTATCAGGGCGGTAGATGACACCAATGAAGCGCTGCAGGCGTTGCTCAGCAGCGATAGCTGAGCGCAGAGAGGGGTCTATGCGATCCTGACGCAGGTCGAGCACGAATCGTGGCACACCAGTATCATGGGCCACAATCTCCCAACTATCCTCTCGGGAGGGACGGACGGACATGACCTCCATATCATCGTCCCACTCATGGGCCGCGGCAACTGTGCCAGTGTGGGTTCCGCATCCAAGAATGGTCACATTCTCGCGTCCTAGTCGCTCACGGCATAGTTGCCCGATATTGAGCTCCTTGCGGCGAAATCCCATGCTTGTATAGCGCGCATCTCCGACATGCGAATTATGGGCCCACACAATAGCTTTCTCTCCCTCGTTGTACTTTAACAGGCGGACTAAGGTTTCGAACATGTGCATGTCGCGCAGGTTCCATGAGCTTGCTGAGCTGTAGTACATCGCCCTGTAATACTGTTCCGCATCACGAACTAGGTGAGCATTCTGTTCGGCGCTGTGGTTTTCATCGCCATCCCACAAGCCGATGTACTCAAGCCTTCGGGCCAAAAGGTCTGTGAGTATTTTCATCACTGGACCTTCGCAGTCTTCCAATCCCTGAAGGGATGCCAGACCATATGAAGTGGGATCATCCACCCAAGGCTCCAAGCACCCATACCGCTGGCGTGCTAGCTTGCTTGCCTGTGGGTCCACCTGGTCTAAATAGTTGATCACAGCGGCGATCGAGGCACCCATGCTGTACAGGTCCAACCCGTAGAACCCGGCTCTTTGTTCTGGTGGGAGATCCTTGTTTCGATTACGCATCCATTCAACTAGCCCTTGCATCTCATAATTCTTCCACATCCAGGTAGGAAAGCGAGTGAATGCTTCGTATCCTTTCGCGCTCCCTCCAATTTGCGCTTTGGGGCCTGGACGTAAGCGCACATATCGGTCGATGGCCTCTGCATCTGGCCAGTCTGCTTCGACCGCGACCATGGTGTAGCCATGTCGTTCAATGAGTCGCTTTGTGATCTCTGCACGTGCAGAATAGAACTCAGATGTTCCATGGCTGCCATCGCCTAGCAGAATCACTTGGCTACCCGCAAAGGTATCGAAGTGTGATGCAAAACTCTTATCCTCGATTGCAGGCAGGGGCTGCACTGCTGAATTGAAAAGCTCTTGTAATTGAGGCATCCTTTTCGTAGTTCGGAGTATAGATGCCAAGCGCATGAACGGTTAGGCTGTGGTTGGGGATATCTTTACGCGGAATAAATGAATATGTCGAGTACTGAAATGCCGGACATAACCCACCGCATGTCGATTCTTCTTTCATCAATATAACATATGCCCTTTGTTTTGCGGGATTTTTCCCAGCGAATTATTCACATCCCGGCTGTTAAACAATCATCATGACTTCATGACTTCATCGTCGATGGCGAACCAAAATGCTCTAATTCCGGCGATAGTGGAACAAATGACATCTGAGAATGAGAATCGATAACAAATGCAGTGGTTCAAGTTGCTCTTTTCCAGTCAGCACACTGCTAGACAAGCAATTATTCATCCCCGCAGCTACGCATATGCCCATCCCATTTCGAAGGCACATACCCATACCTCGAGAATGGCTCTGCCAATCAGCAGCCCGTCACCGCGCATAGACCGCTTTGGACAAGCCATGGAATCTCTTTACGGAAGTTTTAGCAGCATCGAAGATCCAAAATCCTGGACTCCACCACCAAGATCAGGTGGTCATCGGGGGCGATACCTATGGACAGATGCCTTCGGGGTTATCAACTTTCTCACAATGCACAGCCAGTATAAGCGAAGTGACAATGACATTGTTGGTGACGACCGTTATCTGGTGTTGGCTGGTCGTTTGATTGAGACTGTCCATGACATCCTAGGTAGAAATCGAGATGGCCACTCAAGACTGCGAGGAGCAACAGACGAGAACCCGCTAAGCGGTGGATTGAGGATCGGCAAGACAGATGCTCACGGTCCAGATGGCGATGGGCAATATCATCATTACCTAACGGTTTGGATGTTCGCATTGAACCGGATGGCCAAAGCATCGGGAGATTTGAAGTACAACAGACAAGCCATAGAGCTGGCGAAAGCGATACACCCAAAGTTCTTTGTTGATCGCGCGGCAGCTCGACCAAGAATGATATGGAAAATGAGCATGGACTTGTCAGAGCCAATGGTCAAGTCAGAAGGTAATCTTGATCCGATTGATGGCTTTGTTATTTTCCGACTCCTGCAAGATACAGCCATAGAAGCAGGTGATGGTGCGGTGTTGACCGAGGAGATCGACGACTACAGACGCACGATGGAGCGAAAAGGAGAGCACTTTGTATCAAGTGATCCCCTGGATCTTGGTATGACTTTATGGACGGCACATTGGTTTTCCGAGCGAGAGAGCTGGGCTGCTGACCTGGCGGGGAAATGCTTCGATCAAATATGTCAGTCATCTTTCCGTCGATATCCACGAAAGGACATGACAATAAGAATCAAGCTGACTAGGGGTTCTTTCAGACAATCTGTTCGAAATCAATCAGTATTTGGAGCGCAATATCCGATTTCGGCTGGCCTTTCGTGAGTTTGGGACCTGCATAGGCATCCAATGCCAGCCACGGGTGAATGCGAAAAAAGAATGCTCTGGTGATTTGAAATGCTACTCCGATGCCATCATTGCTGCTTGGGATCCATACATGAAACTATCCATAACCGATGATCTGACACCAGAGGACTTGAGGCCTATCACGCGGGTGATGTATGCGGCAGCATTGATTCCAGGAGGTAAGTCAAATGATCTCTCAAATGTCACCTGTCACCTATGATGAGTTCGGTATTTTGACACGCTCCTCAATCCCAGCATTTCGAGCTGGATACCTGGGAAAGGAACCAACACCAACACCCTAGCAGTACTACAACATTTCCATCCTTAGGTCAGAATTCTGGTGGATATGTAGAAGGATATCGAAGATATTTTGAAGAAAAGAACTTCGTAACTATGTCTATATATATGCCAGGCTTATTACTCTATGTACAATACAGGTCTGACGGTAGACGACTTGAGCATTTCTCGATGCCCGGAATCAATGCAATCTATCATTATCATTCGATATACTCGCAGCTGCTGAGAATTTAATCTCGCAGGCAAAACAGACGTCTATACTCCCGGATGTCCAATTACGTTCCCCAATGGTGCTATCCGTCTTGGAAGAATATAGATGGCATACACAGCTCCCAAACCAATCAACAGACCAGACCACTAGAGGAATCATTAGCAAATTTAGAATTTTATCGTGTAGGGTTTTGCCGAAGAATGCACATACCCTTTCTAGCCAAGTGTGAAACCAAATCGCGGTCATGAGGAGCATCCACCAGCCCATGGCAATAATACCCCAAACAAGACGGAGCGACCACGTTCTTGCGAACCCGGCAGTCTCAATTGAATCGATTATTGGAGTACTATCAGCATCACTGGCCTTGCGTTCACGTCCCGCGTCCCCAGGATCAGAACGCGACAAACATGCGGGTGCGCATGCGCTGGCCCCGACAGCCTCAAATGCCAGGACTCCTGTGGCCAGAACCAGCATCAACACATGTCCACTGATATCATGTCCACCCCTCCATGCGCCACCGGCGGCTTTGCACGTCGTTGCTGTGAATAGCGCGTCTAGGCCCGTTGCGCTACTCTGCCCAGCGGCTATCCTCCCGACTTCCTCGATAGCCTGTTCGCATTTGCCGCCCGTGGCCACGAAACTGCGATCAATGACTGGCGGCCCGAAGAACCATTGCGTTGCAAGATACCATACTGTTGTCGCGAGTGTGTATCGTAGAATGGCTTGGAGGGTGCGTCGGAAACGTGCTTCTTGCTGTGAGAGGGATTCCCGGTGAGACGAAGCATAAAGGGGTTGGAATATGAGAAGCGAGGCAAAGGCGGCTGTGGTCCATAGCCATCCAATCTTTACGAAGTAGACATTGAAGATATTATTCTTTCGGGCGAAGTAGTTAACGGGGCCGTCGGATAGGTATAGGTCTGAAGCCAGGGATGGAGCCAGAGGGCCTGCAGGCTGCGGGAAAGAGTCGGACAAATCTCTGGAGTGTCGCGCTGTTGGAGAGATTGCTGAAAACAAAGACCCGAGTAATAATGTCGCAGGGTATATGAGGAGAACAGCTGAGAGGAGGGTGACAGGTCGCGCGGTGGACATCGTCGTAAGCATAGGGCGAGATTTGAGTAGAGGGAAATGAAGTGATATATTTTGAAATACACAACAATTCACCGGCACATGGAAATATCACCACGGAGCATAGTTGTTGTACTTGGGAAGGTTAAAGCAAGAAAAGTTGACGATGACCTGGACAAATGACATCAGGGTTTGCCTGCCGAGGCATGGATGCCTCAGGCGTTGAACAAATATCAACCTTCTTCTTCTCTCCATCAGATATATATGCAATCAAGAGCCATGAGACGAAGACCGAACTTGTAGTAATACGTATCTCTACTGCTTGCTGCTTTCAATTTATTCAAGATAGCCCACGTGCCGACATATTGTTTTGTGACTTCAACGACTCATAGAGTATCCACCACCGAACCACCGAACTTCGAAGTGCTATACTATACAACAAATTGACATGAAGGTCATAAAGTGATGTAACCATCACCGAACAAACAATCCTGCCCAGGTGTGGGCAGGTATGGCGTATTGTCATTGGCTTCCAAAGTTAGAAGACATGTGACATTTGTGATTCCAGGAAGGTGCGTTGGAGAGTGTCCATTTGGGAAGGTACGCGTTGTTAGGGGTATAAAAGGACCCCTCCCACCCTTCCTCCTCTTCTTCTTCTTCTTCTCTTCTCCCCATCCCCTTCAACCACCATCTCACCGTAGCCCCCATGAGACAGCGTAGGCAGAGGGTCCCGTAGCACCTGCTGCCTCACCTACCACAGGGACATCAACATTACCATGTTGTGGAAGTCCATGTAGGTCAGCAACAAATATCAAACCGGGCTTTCTCGTGGGTGTTCCTGAAGTCGTGGCCCTCATAGCCATTTGACGAGTCCCACGGAATACATGGGGGGTGTAGATGACCAAAGCCGGAGACTCGTAGGGTTGACTTGGATATATATCTGACCAGGCTGAAATATGCAATGGGCCTTGCCTAGGCTAAATGTTCAATTGTTCGATACAGAGGCAGATCTTCTGTGGTCTATGTTAGAGAGGACTTTCCTAGCTTGAACTTGGGTCATTTCCCTACTGCTTAGCAGGAATTTCTTGGGGAGAAGCCTTTAGGGACTTCACACTAGAAATATAGAAAACCAAATTCTGTATATTGGAAACACTGTATAGGTATATATAATCTCACAATCGCTCAATGTAAGACATGGATATAGATCTCTATAAGCTTTGAAATGCCATTCACTTTTGTAGTGGACCTCCATCCAACCGTAGGATATTGAACAAGCCCTGGATATCAAAGAATTCAAGTGAAACCGACCAAAAACCAAATGCGTCAACTTTCATCATAAGAACATACCCTTACGGGGCCTTTAACCGAGTGCCTGCATGGCCAACTCGACACTGGGGCGAAGGGTTAGCGGCAATATTAGAAACACAAGCATCATGAGCGAGCAAAGAAAGGGCAAACATACGTCAGGAATGTTCCAGCAGAAACAGGCATAGCTCTCAGCAGAGTAGGGCCAATACCCTTCCAGAAACCACCGAGACCCTCAATGGCATAAGTCTTCTTGAAGCAGTCGCGCATGTTGCTGAACTTTTGCTGCGCGCCGAATCCATCGGTCTGCATCTTACTCTTGATAACATCGAACGGGTAGCTGGAGAGCCAGAGGAGTTCACCAGCCAGGCCACCGTAAATGGCAATCTTTCCCTTAGAGAGATCCTCACGCTTGACATTGTTACGCTTGGCGTCCTGGTTCATCATGAACTCAAAGGCCATGAACCAGGCACCGTAAGCCTGAGCCTCACGGAGGAGAGTAACCACCTGGCCGCGGTAAATACCGCGGAGGGCACCGCCCTGTGCGGCCAGCTTGCTCACGCAGTCGATAGGGCCTGAGTACAGACGACCAGCACCGTGAGGCTGTGCCTGCAGGCGAATACGCACATGCTCAATTGGGCCTGACAACACGGAGTTGGTGAGACCGGCGAATGAACCGGCCAGGTAGTACTGAGTGTATGAAAGGGTTGAGTCGGCGTATTTCTTCTTGTTCAGCTCTTCCAAGCGACGACGAGCTTCGTGATAGGCGCCGAATTGAACAGATACCTGAGTTGGTTAGAGGATTTGTCTATAGTGGACCTTGGCCGCGGGGCAACTCACGCAAGCACCGATGCCGATAAGCGGGGTCAGTGTGCCCTTATAGAAGGCCGTGGGACCTTCCTTCTTGAAGATCTGAGTTGCGCACTCTAGCGCACTCTTGTATTGAGTGGTAGTTTGCAGGCGCACCTTGACGATATCTGCCGGATTGTTAAGCAATGTCTCCTAAGATGTGCTTTAGGCAGATCACATACCAAAGGGTTGACCTAGTTTCTTGTTAGCAATTGCTTTGGTTTTGCATGTCTGGATCATCCCCCGCGAGACACAGTCATGGCAAGATTCTCATCTCATGACGCCCCTGGCTTTCCCCCGTAATTCAAAGAAAGTACGGTGTACACATACCGAGGAGAACCTGGGCTATTCCACCCGCCGCGCCTGCGGCCAAATCCTTGATGGTGCGAAGGGCACCACCGCCGCCCTTATCGATACTGTCAATTACCTCAGTCTCCATGTCTCAAACAACTGAACCGCAACGACTAAAAGTATAGACAGGCACACAATGCGGAGACTCCAGACTTTATATCCAGCCCGCTTATCGCAATGGCGCCATCTGACCTCTGATTGGATAATAATGCCGAGGCACGTGACTTTACCGGCGGACATGTTACATAAGCGGGTTGATACCCACCAGCTGACCTAATCAATGACATAAGCTCATTCCGAACTTCTGGAAAGGGAAAAAAGTTGACGGATCCAGATGTGGATAGACTAGTGAATGATGCATCGTCGGCCAGTCTGCAGGGTAAGTTCGCAGCTCTTAAGTGTTGCGGCAGTATCTAACTAAACCTACAGCTATCGCGTCGGGCTGAATGGTCGAATTCAGCCTACCGAACGCCTACTTTAACAGCTCTCACAGTTCGACGGACCTTACGGTTATCGGCGACATGTTTGAACTCATCGGATGCATCGAATGGGAATTATGATAGTAGTCCCTCAAATCCAGCGCCGGAAAAGCCCAAGTTTGGCAGCCGATGGGGCCCGAAACAAACTACGCCATCGGCGGGCTTGAGTTTCGCAGAACAAGCGCTGCGCCGAACCCTTGTCGCCAATAGTCAACCGCCGCCGCCAGGACCTGCACCCGCGCCTACACTACCACAACGGAGGCGGGAACAGTCAAATCAGCAATGGAACTCAGCGCAATCAAACCAGCAGAGGAAACCGAACGTGCGGCGCGTGGGCCCTCGGGATAATCAAGATGCCTACATGGTAGGATCAAGAGAGACACCAAGGAATCAAGAGATGAACTCGTCCACCCAGGAGAATAATCCTTTTGGAGAAGAAACTCCAGGTAGCCACATGAAGTGGTCAAGAGAAACCCCACGGAATCAGGGGACGAACCCGTCCACTCAAGAGAAGAATCCGTTTAAAGAAGAAAATCCAGGTAGCTACATGAAGTGGCCCAAAGGAACTTCACGGGATCAGGAGAGGAACCCATCCATTCCAGAGAGAGCCCCGGTTGAAAAAGAGAATGGAGGTGGCTACATGAGGTGGCCCAAGGGGACCTCGCGCAATCAGGAGAGGAACCCGTCTATCCGAGCAACGAAAGCGGCGAATGAAGAAGAGAACCCGTTTGCTCCTGAGAAGACACAAAACAGATCCCAGGGCCAATTTCAGAACAAAGCAACTAGGGACCATCCAATGGCCCACGACGACTGGAACTGCCCTCAGTGCATGAAACATGTTTTTGCCACAAAGCAAGTGTGTCCATTCTGCAAAACCTCTCGACCTGCCGACGCCCAGCCAAGGTCCCGAATAACTAGAGAGTATAGCGATTCTCCCGGACGTTCACAATTTCAAGAGTCCAGATCCCCCCCTGAGTATACTAGAAAGTTCCAGCAATTAGGGGACTCAGTCTTGTCTGAGTTGGAACAAGACGTTAAGCTGAATACAACAAGAAACACAGAACGCGATTCAGAGGAATTTGACCGACCTCAAACAAAGGAGGAAGCAGACAATTTCAAGAAGAACCAATGGACTTGGGATATGTCTGCACTGGAGCAGCTAGAGAAGCTAGAGGCGCAAGAACAGCCGCCACCGCCAAAGCCTATGAAGCGCCGTGATGGACGCAAGGGACGTGAGAGTGAGTCTGATGGGGCCGACTTTGACTCGGAAGATCGCGAGCGCCTCCGCAGAGAGCGAAGACGCCAGCAGAAAGAAAAGGACGCCCAAAGGGCTGCAAAGAAGGCCGCCGCGCTGGCAGCACCGGCTCCTCTCTACTTACCTGAATTCATCAGTGTTAGCAACTTGGCCGATGTCATTGGCGTGCGGCCAGCGCAATTTGTGCAGCGAATGGAGGAGATGGGCTTCGAGGAAATCACGTACAGAGATGTTCTCGATGCAGAAACTGCCGGATTGGTGGCAGCCGAGTTCAACTACGAGGCTATCTTCGACAGCGGCAAGGCAGATCTACACGCTGCGCCTGAACTTGAGGACACATCAAATCTGCCAACTCGACCACCTGTGGTCACTATTATGGGTCACGTTGATCACGGCAAAACTACGATTTTGGATTGGCTGCGCAAGTCATCTGTAGCAGCGTCTGAACATGGTGGTATCACGCAACATATTGGCGCATTCTCCGTAACGATGCCTTCCGGAAAAGCCATCACCTTCCTTGATACCCCCGGCCATTCTGCATTTTTGGAAATGCGTCGCCGGGGTGCCGACGTGACCGATATTGTGGTGCTTGTTGTTGCCGCGGACGACAGTGTCAAACCACAAACTATCGAAGCCATCAAACACGCCACCCAAGCCAAGGTTCCCGTCATTGTCGCCATCAGCAAAATTGACAAGGAGGGCAACAACCCTGATCGAGTCAAGGCTGACCTTTCTATTCATGGTGTCCATGTGGAAGATTATGGAGGTGACGTTCAGGCGATCGG